CACTGGATAATAATACCCCATGTCACCTGGATACAGATCATTCTGCTACTGAGTAAAAGGGTTCAAAATATTTGGTCTATTCAGGATTCAGCACTAGAAGTGGAGCCTCCAAGAGAAAAAAATGATGCAGACTCGCTAGGCATGTGGCTTGAAGTTAAGAGCCTCATCCTGCACCCACCATTTTAAGATGGTCCATGCTTTGTGAGAAAAAGAAAGAGGTTTACAAAATGGATCTGCCCGTTATGTGGCTGAGTCCCTACGTTCCAGGCCTACATTTTCCCAGGAATTACACCTGAGCCACAGGACTCAGTGTGACTATGGAGCACCACTAGACAGTTCCTGGACCTCAGGGGTGGGGGGGAGATCTGTATACACATTTTGTGACTGCCCTCTTGGTAGGGTTGCCAAGTCGTGGCGGGGGATTGTATGTCTTCGCAGAATCCATGCCACGGGGACGGCGAGACGCGTTGCACCCGCCGTCGCCAGGATTTGACACAACGCGTCGCTCTGGCAACGGGACTGTTTGGAGCCCCGCTGCCAGAGCAACACGAAGCATCATGTCCTGGCGACAGCGGTGCAACATGTCTCGCTGTCCCTGCGGCACAGATTCTGTGAAGACATGCGAGATTTGGGAGCCCCACCTCTTGGTGTTCCATGGGCTCTTTCTCTGCCTCTGCCCTACTTGTGCTCCCTCCAGCCTCAGCCAGCTTCAGAAAGGCAGGAGTCCCCCAGGATCTGCTTTCTGGGTTTATACCCTGCAGGTGTTTTCAGCCTCCCATCAACTAAGCACCTTCCCTCTCCTCCCCAGCCAGTTTCACAGGCTTTCCTTTTATCCCCCTCTCCAATCCCAACCCCTCCTTTCCTGCTTTTCTCCACCCAATCCCTTTAAGCCAGAACCTATTTCTTTCCAGCCCTCTCGTTCCCTATTCCTAGCCCTTCCCTCTATTATCCTCCACACCTGGCCTAACCCCCAGCGGGCCTCTGCCTCACAAGGGCAGCTTGTCCCCAACCTGCTGTCCTCTGCCTGCAGATAAGCTCCCTGGGTGCGAGACCACCTCTGCCCCAGACTCCAAGACCCTGGGCATTTCCAGACACGTTTGACTTTGGATGAGTTGATTTCCTGGGTAAAACTGTTCAGTGCTGGATACTTTGTTTTTCGAAAAATCAGTTCTGCTTCCCCAGGAAAGATTTTGTTTTTAAAATGACCCAAACACTTGCACTACAGTTTTCGTTGTGCAGTAACAACGACAATGCCACAAATGGCGAGCAGCTGCAGGTCAAGGCAACGTTTGCCAGTTCAGATGCAGAACAAGAGTCACATTTAATAGCTTAGATCATCACTGTAGCATAACAATGGCACATTACCCCTGCTAGCACGAGACCCGGGTGAGCACAGAGATACTGGCACTGTACTTTGTTCTACTATCTATGCACCATGAAGAAGCAAACGCCACACACACACACACAACACTAAGCTGTTGTTTGTTCAGGGTCTTCCATGGAAATAACTTGAAAAATCCTATCCCTTTGCTCCCCCTATCTGGGTGGAAAATTGTGGCATGGGACCTATAATAAAAGCTGCCTAGATAAACAGTGCAGAAGTGGACTTCAGAAATCAGCTTGATCACATGGCATAAAAGAGAAAGATTGCAGACTGCAGAATATCTCTTGGAGGAGGTCTGGCAATTTGGCCACATCCCATTATGGTTTACAACTAAGCAAAACGGGTCATATTCTCAGAAAACTGGGTTTATTCACACGTTACAAATTATTGTCTTCTTTTTGAGGAGGGATAAAATATTAAACACTGACATATCATTATAAAGGAAGAGACTGCAGCTCTGCTATACAAATTCACACAACCGCATGTGATATGGAAGCACATGGAAAGCACCCTCAGGAGCAGTCAATCCAATCTGAGGAATTACATAGGAATGTAGGAACATTAAAAGCACTTTAAAGCCCAGGCTAGCCCAAACTCATCAGATCTCCGAAGCTAAGCAGGGTTGCCCCAGGTTAGTATTTGGAGGAAGCAGGGGTCATTGCGTAGAAGAAGTAGTGCAGGAGCTCATTAGCATAACTCATTAGCATAACTTATTTGCATATGCCACACACCCTGACATCACCGGAAGTGTGTCAGAAGACAACACCCATTGCTCAGGCTCCACTGGACTGTTTTGGATTGCTAGATATGGGGGGGGGATGCGCAGATCCTTGTGCTCCTCGTGGCCTTGGGCTGCTGGGAGCAGGGGGCGGAGCTTGTTGCACATGCCTGCCCCCTGGGCTCTTTAGTGCTGGAGCTCCGCTCCTGTGTGCTCCTGCAGGAAATGACCCCTGGATGGAAGACCACCAAGGAAATCCAGGGTCACCACCTCTGTTCATCTATTCCCTTGAAAACCTTACAGGGTTACCATGTCAGTTGTGACTTGATATTAAAAAAAAAAAGCACATTAAAGTATATGTTCACACTTCACATGAGTATGGCCTAATAGCACTATAACTTATCAAAGTTCATCATGTTTACAGCCCTGACCTGGATAGCACAGGCAAGCCTGATCTCATCAGATCTCGGAAGCTAAACAGGGCCGGCCCTGGCAAGTACTTGAAAGGGAGACCTCTAAGGAATACCAGGGCCAGAAGGCAGAGGCAGACTATCAAGCCACTTCTCTGAACATCCTCCATGCCCCAGTAGGAGTTGCCAGAGATCACCATGACTTCCAGGCACAATCACACACACACAATCAAAAAATACCCCCAAAAAAGTTCATCATGTTTACCTCACACAGCTCACACATTTATGGGGAGGGCACTGTGGCTCAATGGTAGAGCATCTGCTTTGCATGCATGAAAATCATATGTAGAAAATCTCAGGTGCAATTTCCAGCATCTCCAATTAAAAGGGTCAGGTGATAGGTGATGTGAGAGACCTCAACCTGAGATCCCGGAAAGCCACTGCCAGTCAAAAGAGTAGACAATGTGGATCTTGAGAGACCATTGGTCTGACTCACTATATGGCAGATTCATGTGTGCATGTGATGTTCAAATACACACAGAATATGTTCAACTGGCAGTGAAAGGGAAGCAATAGATTCTTTCCTAATTATCTATTGGTCAAAAAGCCCTGACCTGGATAGCACAGGCTAGCCCGATCCTGTCAGATCTCAGAAGCTAAGCAGAGTCAGCCTTGGCTAGTGTTTGGAAGGGTGACCTCCAAGGAATACCAGGGCTGTGATGCAGAGGCAAGCAATGGCAAACCACCTCTAAAATGTCCGTTGCCTTAAAAAAAGTCTAGCTCACCACCTAGTGGTGCATAACACTAAAAGAGCTAGAACTTCAGCCTGCCAGATAATCTTAGGATCTCCTGGGTATTGTACACACAATGCCATACAATTATTATTATTAGTAGTAGTAGTAGTCAGATAACTTTAAAGCAGAAACCTGAATTATAACTGATATGATTAAAAAAAACCAAAACTAAACTAGGCCTGGGGCTGCTATGCATTAAAAGGGAGAGGAGGAAGAGACATGAGCAGAGATTTGTGACAGCAGCCAGGCATCCTAAACAACATTTTAGTTATGGCCTCAGATTTGAACCGCATCTATAATAAGGCTGTATTCATAAATCATGTTTCTAAAATGTTTTCTACCAAGGGTGGCTACGGTGAGTTTTGCATGGGGATTTTGTCACATGTGGCTCCCTTTGATTCGGTTTTCATTCCAAGCAGTTTGTGGGGGGTCCTGGGCCTTTTCCTCTGTGCCAGCTATGCTCCATTTTTCTCCCCCACAACATTTTATCCCTTTAACACGCTCCCCCCCCTTTTGGGGGGGTTCCCAGTTGAGCTGCTATGTCCCTTTGACTGCAGCTCAGCTGTGAAGTGGGAAAAGGAAGGTTGCCTAGTAGTGAGTGCACAAATTGCTGTTGCTTTGGTGCATCAGCAACAACAGAAGGAATTCCAAGGAGGGGTGAGGGTGGGAGGGCCAGCAAGTGGCCCATAAATGGTGTTGCGCAGACCGCCCAGCCCAGCCCACCTCTACACCCTCTTCCTATTGCATCTACAAGCAGGGGAGCCATTTTGTGCCTCCAAGGGGAAGAAGAAGAAGAAGAAGAGATTGGATTTATACCCCGCCCTTCACTCGGAGTCTCAGAGCGGCTTACAAACTCCTTTCCCCTCCCCTCCCCACAACAGACACCCTGTGCGGTAGGTGGGGCTGAGAGAGCTCTGACAGAAACTGCTCTTGAGAGAACAGCCCTGACAGAACTATGGCTTGCCCAAGGTCATCCAACAACTGCAAGTGGAGGAGTGGGGAATCAAACCCGGTTCTCCCAGATTAGAGTCCACGCACTTAACCGCTACACAAAACTGGAATATGTCTATTCTCGCATCAAAGGTTCAGACAGGCAATTTACTCCAAAAAGAAATTTGAATCCTAGTTTAATCTAGAATGTATATTTATTTTCTTCAAATAAGGTTTATAAATCCAACTTAGAATTAAAAAATGAAAGCCACATTATTTGCACATTCTAAAAGCAAAATATTACTAAAACACATAATGCTTCACAATACGCTACGGTATCATCACATTAGGGTTTTGATGTTTTTTTTAATGCAGTAAAAGCCCATATGACCAAACTGAGGCTATTACTTGGGCCAAATTGTGAGAAGACAAAACTGACTCAAAAAGACAATGATGCTCAGAAAAGTTGAAAGCAGCAGGAAAAGAGGAAGATCCAAGATAAGATGGAATGATTCAATAAAGGAAGTCAAGCCCTTCAGTTTGCAAGACCAGAACAAGGCTGTTAACCACAGACCATCTTGGAAGTCAATCATTCACAGGGTCACCATAAGTTGGAAGCAACCTGAAGGCACTTAAAGATAAACACACAAAATCCACGTACTGATCTAGGGATGCTTGCACAAGTGGCATGTCCCTGAAGATTTCTTAACTAGTTACGGTTTGCACCTGCTAGATATTGTAGTTAAAATGAAAAGGCTATTTACTGTGACATGAGCATCAGGAGTTTCATGGCTTGAACTGCTACTTCATGGTCCTTGTCCAGTGTCATGGACATAATTCGATCCTAATGGATGAAAAATAATAAAGCAGATATAATATTTTCAGTTCTGAAAGGCTCTGCTACAGAAATTTGTGCTTTACAATCTAGGATGGATTGCTGAAAGACTTTGAGACCGTAAGTTTATAAAAGTAGGATAAAGTTCCACATAGAGATGTTTGCAATGAAACATTCATAGAGGGGGGAAAAGAGCAATAAAAATGGAATATTAAAAAGTGCACTGAAGAATCGTATTTCAAAAACACATACGGCATTGTGTTCTGTGACATACACCTCATGGCCAAGAACTACACATTTTAGTTCAAGTGAAGGCTACGCTGCAATAGATGGCTTGTAGCTCCACCTGCAGGCTTCAGTTTCAGACATTCTTCACATCTAAAGGCACCAGAGAGCTCTCAAAGCGATGATTCCCAAACAGAGGAAACCCACCATTGCAGGAGTAGCGGTCAAAAGATAAAAAGGCAACATTCCTTCAATGGGTGGCGCCACTTGCAAAGAGAAATGGGAACCATTATCTCTAGTGGGTTGGTTTTTTACTAAGAGCTCAATAGCCTTCAGAAAGCGAAGTCTAATTTCAAATTCAAAAATAACATAAAACAATGAATCTGAGCTAGCCTCCAAAAAGACAAGACAGTGGCTTGATGAAGGTACTTGGAGGCAGCAGGTCTTCCCCAGCCTATTCCACTTCCCAGCGGCCCCACCCCACCCCAAGATCTTCTCAAAGCAGTGCTCTTGATCCTTGTGAACAACATGACATTTAGGAGGTCTCAGGAGATGCTGAGAGAAGGAACGAAAGATCTGACTCTGGGAGCAAATGCATTTTTTTGGTTTCTGGAACCATCATCTCTTAGTTGTTTTCTCTAAAGCAAGCAAGACTAATGCAGGACACAAATATAAATGTTATCAAGGAATAAATCTACTTTCAATCCCCAGTAAGAGTCACAATTCATGTATGGAAATCTACTAACAATTCTAGAACAGATTTTTTATCATAGTATACAGTGGTCATATATATCTCTAATTATCAACATGGCCTAATCTGTGGAGATCAGGGCCATGGACAGTCAAGATAGGCCTTTTTGCAAACCTGAGGAAAGCCCCAGGCTTGCAGAAAAAACTGAAATCTAAAAAAAATACATGGGGAGCTTGAAAAACCCCAATGATAAAAGGATCACCAATAGCTTTGAGAAACTGATGCCCTCAGTGGATGTCGCTACTGCAGTTTGAAGGCACACTTGCTTTTTAAAGAAATGTCACATTCATGGAACCTCCTGTATCATGTTTGGTTTGGGCCCTTGCTGAAGTCAATTTTGGGTTTGGATCCTACTGCTTGTTAATGTGAGATATCAAAACACCTTGCAAACACAATGAATGCCAGCAATGTACCTAAGTTACAACTGGACTCTGCACACCTCATTCAAACCACTGGCTGCAATAAAGTCAACCATGCTAGAAACAAACCCAAAAGTGGCATTTCATGGTATCAGTCCTGAAGCATCAATGCCTCCTAGTCACACAACTTGACATAATTTCACATTTGTTCGATTCACATTTTTATGAAGAAATCCCAACCAAAGAGCAGTTAAAGAAAATACAAGTATTTCAACCTGCCCTGTATTAAGGTGCCAATGTTATCAAGACCTGACTAGACTCTTGTGCCATTTTCCCAACAAGATCTTTTTATTTTCTTAGTATTCAATCTGTTTCGTTCAAAGGACAGGAGGTACATGTAGGATTATGAGAAATTCTGGATGAGTACAGTCAAACCTTCCAATAAGACTGGCAAAACCAACCGCAACATAACTATCCAATGAAACTTATATGTTTACTATGTATACCCATAATAAAATCCTTCCCTCATAAAGACATTAACTAAGGTCTGTTTTGGAATCAGTCAGCATAACATCCTCCACAGTCAGGTCTTGGGATGTGACCCTAAGAAAAGGCAACAGCTAAACTTCATAATTTAAAGACTGAAGCTTCCACTCACCCACCTTTTAATATTTCTCAAGTGAGTCTGGAGAGATATTGGATCCCAGTTCTGTTCTGAGAATAATTAGGCTCCTTGGCCAACTCACCAATGTTTGGGAAATGCTAATTTCAACTTACCTTGAACCTGCTAGTGAAGAGATCCATTTTAGAAACAAGTTCTTTTTGGTCATATATTCCCTGTAGTCCCTGAAGGCACTTTAACCGCACTTCAGGTTGCTGCAAGAAAGGAAATGATACAGTAAAAGTAACAAAGTGGACCAATAAGGCAATTTGACGTATCAATATCACTCAATTGGCAGAGAATATGGTGCTGAATCATCTAGAGCAGGGGTGTCAAACACACAGCATGCGGGCCAGAACTGGCCTGTCCAGACCTCTTATCCAGCCTGTGAGCAACCTTTATTGCCAGATGACAGAAGCTCTGTATTACGTCCCTGTATACTGTCCCTGTGCTAATGAGTAATGGGAGGTAGAAGTGGAAGGGTGGGCATCAAGGAGATACTCTATGGAAATACTGTAAGAGTGTTAATGTTTTAAGCCTGTTTGTACTTTGAGTAAAAAATAATATTGTTAATTGGGTTTGCCTGTGTCCCTTATAAAGTTTATATCTCCACTACCTGGTGTTACATTTTATGGCACACATGGCCCGGCCCAACAAAGTGACATTTATATCAGATCTGGCCCTTGTAACAAATCAGTTTGACACCTCTGACCTAGAGCATACAAGCTCTAGTGAAAATGATTTAATTTTAGCATCTTTTTAAAAAATGTAATTTCACAGTTGTTATTCATTTACTGCAAGGCATCTAACCGCCTCAGTGTAGCACTTCTGGAGTATACTGCCTTGACAACACTTTAGAGCCGTGCAGGGCAGCAGCAGACAAAGCCATCTTGCATTGATTTAAACCAGAATTCCAGTCCTTGTGAAAATAACTTTGAAAGTATGATGTGTCTGAAGCGCTTAAACAAATGGCACCCTCTATTTCTACCATTCGTGCTTCCTCCTGCATAACTCTTGCATTCATTGCAGCACTGTACTTTTAATGTAGAATAAAAGAAAGTACTTGTGGGGGGGGGGGAAGGGGCTTATCATTTAAGACTTAAAACAAAGGCAAAATATCTCCGTTAACAATGTAGAAATTAAAAATCCCTTTATTGTAAGTGGTAGAATCTCTGTATTTCAAAAACTTTCCCTCATTCGTGAAGAAGAGAAAATGGGGGTGGGGACTTACTTTATCATAGAGCATCCATCCAATGTATTTCAAGTAACTATCATTTAAGAATGTATTGGGGTAAATTTTCATCCAGCTGCCCATTTCTTCAATACAAATGGCCCGAATCTCTGGAATAATGTCACTTTGAAATAACAAAAAGAAACAGTATTGGTGACCCTGTGAGAGCTGGTTCACACACACATAATTTGATTGGTTACCACCAGATTAATCAACATTTAAGGATTGGCAGCTAAATATGCGAACAGAATATTGAAAAAAATTGTCCTTGAGGTGATGTAATTTAAAAGGATTGTCAGTTATGAATGATCTGTAATGGCTTATTCACATATGCAAGTCATTATTTGATGCTGCAGGCATGTGTGAATCAGCCACAAAGCAAAATACAGCCCGTCATACATACATACATACATACATCCCTGAGGTGTCCAAGGTTAGATTAGAGACTAGTTCAAAGTACATAAAGATCCTTACCGATAGCGCTGCAAAAAGATTCCTTTGAAAATAGCATTCATCATATTCTCTATCTCCAGAGGCTTCTGTTCATACTGAAATGAGAAGAATTGAACGGTTCTCTTCTCATAGAAAAGGCTTAATTCAGAGGCTGAACACCAATTCATTTTTCAAATCAAGGAATAATCAAAAGTCAGGCAGGAAAGGAATTGAAAAGAACCTAGTAATATTTTTCCGTCTTCTCAATACCTCATTCAGAATTATCAGCTTCATTATTATTGGTATTAATCCTATTTGGTTGTGCCTTAATTTTCAGGTGTTACAAATACCCAGCAAAGTAACTCAACCCATTTTTTCCCACAGCTAAATGCTGTAATAATCTGCTGTACAATCAGTTTGGTGCCTCTTACAGTCATTAAAATTATGGTCACTGAACTGAAGTGGCCATTCATTCCACCAAAACCACCCATATCTTTCTACTCTGCATTCACCACTTCAGCACACATTTGACATATAGTTAGAGAATACACACATGACCAACCATAATCTCATGCTGAAAGCCTTGAGTTCCCCATGACTACTTATCCAAGAATACATGAATGCATGTAGATATGCTTGTAATCGTATTAAGGTGCCAATGTTATCAAGACCTGAGTAGACTCTTATACCATTTTCCCAACAAGATATTTTCATTTTCTTAGTATTCAATCTGCTTAGTTCAGAGGACAGGAGGTACATGTAGGATTTCGAGACCCATGCTTGAGTGGAGACAGATGGAGCGTAACAACAGGGACTCCGTTAATTACTCTCAGCATTCCACAATTAAGAAAGGTACATTTACACATCAAACTACTTTTGATATATTTATTTGCTTCACTATGTTTTCCCCTGGAATTAAACCCAAACAAAGGGTGATCATATAAACTAAGCTTGTTATTCCTGTTTGGTCCTTGCATCTGTTAAACATCTTCATTATGCTGTATGCTAATTTACTGCTCACCCTCTACCAATATGCATGGACTAGTAATTTCCAATTTTGTTTCTGTCTTGACCAATGCTCCCTCTAAGCTGTGGAGTCTTGTGAGCAAAAATCCTACTTTGTGAGCTACTGGCATTAAAGTTGTGGGCGAAGTGTGTGTGCACACAAAAGCTTATGCCTTGAATAAAACTTTGTTGGTCTTAAAGGTGCCACTGGACTCGAATTTTCTTCTACAGTGATTTACCACTGTATCAAATTAGCCTACAAAGACTACAAAATCAAAATTAAATAAATGGATGGCTGGTGTCATCTGTTTTGGGTTATCTTGAAGCTGACAAGCTGGCCAAAAAAATGGAATTAAAGATAATCCTTATCTTATTAGCACATATGGGATACTGATTAGTTACATCATGAGGCCACAGAGTCATACGCTCTTAGAGCCTGAATGTTTTTTGAATTTCATCTACCCCAGCCACTAGCTCAACACAGAAATACATAATTACAGCATCCCCAGCGTCTAAGCCATCCAGCCTCTGCTTAAAAGTCCTCCAGCGCAGGAGAGCCCACTACCTCCCAAGGCAGTCTGCCACACTGTTGAACATGTCTTGCTACTAGGAAGTTTCTCTTAGCCCTCTTCCTTGTCATTTCCACCTATTAGTTCTAGCCCTTCCTCTGAACAAGGGAGAGCAACTCTGCTTCATCTTCTAACGTGACAGCCCTTCAGATATTGAGATCCTTTTTGTCATCTTCTGGGCATGGAACAGGGGTCACAGGGGTGTGTGGGGGGGGAGGTATTTGTGAATTTCCTGCATTGTGCAGGGGGTTGGGCTAGATGACCCTGGAGATCCCTTCCAACTCTACGATTCTATGGAGGGACTTGGACCACCAAGCTCAAAGGGACAGTAGAAGCTTATCTGTGGGTAATACCCTCAAAGTGCCTCCAGAGTAAACAAAATTATTCAGAAATTATTCTCAGCCTTACTTCCCAGCTTTTCACACTTGCTAGTGAGAGATGTTTGCCACACCATGCACAGTGAGTAATGGGCCCTACTGTGAGAGCTATGCATTCTACAGACTGAAAAAGGTTTTCCATCATAATCTTTAGTACAACTGCAGTATTAAATACAGTCAAGTCAGAACCACTTAGTGTCTATTGCAATGGATGCACAGTAAATTTAATATCACCCTTGCAGGCTTCCAATACCTAGTCACAAATTACAGAATGAGGACTTCTAACAGACCATCTAACAGACCCAATAGAAATGTGTCACACCTCTTTTCTTTTTTTCTCTAGCTGGTCCAGTCTACTATTGGTCCTCTTGCCAGTAGTTCTGCTCTTCTCCACCTCATATAATCTTTCAAGGTTCCTCTTACTTGCATCTAGACTGAGATTTAGATTTACAAGTGCTGTCAGAAGCTTCATAGCTGGGGTGGAAGAAAACAAAAATGCAAAGTCAAATCTGTACTCAGAGCCGTTGTTTTTTTAAAAAAAACCCATATAAAAACAGTAAATCTCCAACCCTTTTTGCTGTGCATTTGCATTAAACTCAGTTATTGATGTCAGTGGCATACGAATTAAACTCTAAGGAAGGTGTGTTCTACACAAGTGTGCACAGACAAATATGACTAAATTGATTATAAGCATTGCCAGCAATTTACAAGACCATGTTACACAACAGATGGCAGTTCACAAACAATAAGCCCTAGGTCAAAAAGCTTAATTCTCAGACATTTATTGCCAGCAATTTACAAGACCATGTTACACATTTTACAAGACCATTTCACTAGTTTGTACCATCAGACTTCCTCCTCCCTGATCACATTCGCAGATACCTGCTAAAGTGCTGGTGTGCCTGAATGCTCTGACCATGGAGTCTGCCAAGCCAGTGAGCATAGAGATGATGGTGTCCATCAAATAGCTGTCAGAGAGGATGCTGCACTGACACTGCTGGATCAGCACCGCATTGAACTCGCAAAAATTGGCTCTGAACTTCTTCCAGTAGGACCCCGGTTTGACGAGTGGGTAGTCTTCATTGTCCTGCATTAGGAGGGGGAAAGACAGCAGTGGTCTCACAAACAGGAAAGCTTAAGCAGAGAACCATGGAAAACAGAAGTGTGTTATTACATTAAATCCTTGTCCTATTGTCAAAACAAAAGAAGAAAAGGCCAACAGTGCAATCCTACGCATAGCTATACCCTTCTAAATCTATTGGGCTTAGAAGGGTGTTGCTTTGGACTGAACTTCAAGGCAACTAGGAACCTATGTGTTTCATGTGCAAATATAATATAGAGGACAAAGCCGTGCAAGTAGAAATCAGCAGCATGCCACACTTCTTCTGGCTACTGAAGACCAATTCTCCCAATCGTCCCAGCATAGGTGGGTTTCTAGATACTGATACCACACAGAGGCAGCTATGTGGAGGTTAATGGCACTCACAAAACTGATACACATTGATTTTTAGTATGTGTCTTCAAGCAGGATGTGTCAAAACTTGCACACCAAAACCCATTTCTGCACATGGCATTGGCAGATGGAAGCTGGCGCAAGGTACCAGCTGCCAGATTAGTCCCAAGAATCAGCTCTAAGAAGGGTTGCATCAGCTCCAGAACCACACCCTATCTTGCCCAAATTCTGCAACACAATGAAAAGACTGAAGAGGACACTGCTGTCAAATGACAAGAGCAACAAAAGTGTATCTTCTCCCATTATCATTGCTACCTCAATAGCTCAATAACAGTTTCATGCCATACATATCAATGGTCGGCATGCATAAAGAGAAGCCTGAATCTAATTAATTCAATTATTTTAATGGTGGGAAGCTAATAAACACAAAGGAAAACCCTGGGGCTCATTTTTGGCACATTAAGACTGTAAGTCTGGAACAAAATGACAGTGGAATGGAGACATCAGTTCACATGTGCAAGTTTTACTTAGACAAAAGAATACTATGATTGCTCTGTAGGCTTAGGCTATGCACACAAATGCTCACATCCAATTATTTTAATAGTAGTAGTCAGACAGACAAGGCTGTGATTATATCATTTACCCACGCAGAAGATGCATGTTACAGAATCTGACATCTACCATGGAATTCCCAAGAATATGCCTCTGAGCTGTTTGGAAACAGTTTTATGAATGCTGAGCATATTGTGCTGATAAGTAGTGTCTGTTCAAAGATAACACAGCCTAGCCAGGAAGTGAGCAGTGTTTGCAGGACCAGGACCAAGACTGAGATTACACAGGAAGGAGGCAGCAATCATACTGTAGTGCATGCCTTGGTTACACCTAGATTAGATTACTGCAATGTGCCCTCCGTGGGGCTGCCCTTAAAAAGTGCTCAGAAACTTCAATGGGTCTAAAATGCTGCAGCCAGGATGTTCACTGGTCATAGGGACTATGTCGCTCCAGATCATCTAAACTGGCTCCTAATTTGCTTCCAGGCACAATTCAACGTGCTGGTGTTAACCTGCAAAGCCCTGTGTGGTTTGGAACCACTACAGTCATCTTCAGAGTGTTGGTTTGGAACCACTACAGTCATCTTCAGAGTGTTGGTTTGGAACCACTACAGTCATCTTCAGAGTGTTGGTTTGGAACCACTACAGTCATCTTCAGAGTGCCTGCTTTTGGTGCCCCCCATCTTTTGAAATTAGGTGAGTGGCAATCTGGGACAGGGCCCTCTTGGTCATGGCACCAAAACTCTAGAACTCTCTCCCCAGCGAGATTCGTTTGCCCTCTTCTGTTGCCATCTTCTGCCAGCAAGTAAGGACTTTTTTTGTTTTATTTGGCATTCCCTCAGGGATCCTTCCGTCCTCCTGACCAATGTCCATTAATGTTTTCTAAAATGCCTTCATCGTATTTTAGCTCTGTTTTTGCTTTAGTAACTTTTGTTTGTGCCTCTGCAGGTGGTTTCCTGCTAGTATAGTAATTTTCCCGTTTCTTCCAATTCTGAATTTTGTAGTAGCAGGGCTACGAGCAAATTACGTCTTGTAGTGTTACAATGTTAAGTGGTTATAATCATCTTACAAAAGAGCAAGAGTCCAGTAGCACCTTAAAGACTAACAAAATCTGTGGCAAGGTATGAGCTTTCGTGAGTCACTGCTCACTTCTTCAGATACAGCTAGAATGTGAGTCCATCTGTCCCATATATTGGAAAGTGGAGCGATTTCAGATGCCAAATGACATTAGCAGGCAAATGAAAATCGCAGGTGTGACTGCATATCACACCTAATCCAGTCACACCTGCTATTGCCATTTGCCTGCTAATTTCATTCGGCATCTGAAATCACTCCACTTTCCAATCAATAGGACAGGTGGACTCTCATTCTAGCTGTATCTGAGTAAATGAGCAGCGACTCACGAAAGCTCAGGCCCTGCCACAAATTTTGTTACGACTTTAAATTGCAACCAGACTCTTGCTCTTTTCTACTGCCACAGACAGACTAACATGGCTACCCATCTTGATCTATACTCATCTTAGATTTTCTATTCTTCTACCATCTGTAAGCCACTTTCAGTTCTGTTTCAGGAGGAAAGTGGCATATAAATAAGCATACTAAATAAATAAAAGGGATGAGTGAGCCTATGCCAGCAGGATCCAAACCAGGCAGCTACTGCAGCACTACCAAGTGCCACAGGACTAGCTCCCGGCTGCCAGCAGCCCTCCAGGCAGGGAGCCAGCAGAAGCTCTACTGGCAACTTAAGTGCCAGCACCAATACGGCAAAGGATCTTCATATATATATATATATAAGGTTACATATATAGAGATAGAGATACATGGATATATATCAATTCAGGGCTTTTTAAATTAATGGAGCAAAAGTAACATTTTTAATTAATGGAGCAAAAGTAACTGAATACCTAAATGAATATTTCATTATAATGCATTTGACGCTGCCACCTTCCTGATGCTATATCAGGTCTGTGCCTGGATGTGAAACTGCATCGAGATCCTATTTACATCACCTTGAGTTCCGAAGAAAAAAGGCAGGATATGAATGAATGAACAAATGAATGAAATTTACCATATCCACTGGCCAAGTAACTGTCAAAATCCAGGGATAAGCCATGAACTTTTTATACTGCAGTCCTGTTTCCTACAATATAAAAAAAGTTTTTTAAAAAACGCACTTAAGCAATAGCAACTAACGTTGTACTCTGCACATGGATAAGTACATAAACACACAGAGCCAGAGCTCCTTGCACATGCAGAAGCCAACAGAGATCCATGTGAGCAAGGGCTTCTTTATTGGCTTCAAGGACAAGGAAGTTCCATGAGCTGATCCTCACCAGATGTCCCCGTTTGTATCAGAATGCCAACAAAGCTTTGGATCAGAGAGGGGCTACACGTTAGTTTTCCTTGCTTTGATTCTGAAGCCAGAACAAGATCCTTTGACCAGTGAGTCTGCCATCATTTAGTTAAAGTCAGTCCCACCACAACACGCAGTGAAACACAGCCATACCCTGATATCAACATAGTAGGCATCTCCCCATTTCCATTCCACCAAACTGGTGGGGCAGAGAAATGCAAAAGGCAAGGTGATAAGGCAAGATTCATTATACACTACAGAAGGCAAGTGGATGAATGTGGCCCAGGACTGCTGTTTTTTGCAGAAGCACAGAATTTATCATTAACATCTAGTTCCGTCTGAATCCAGTATGGACAGATACAGCTACAGGCTTCCAACATAAAATAGTCTTTATTGCTTTGGATACAGGGGAGTGATTTTCCTTTCAAATACCATACGTGCAAGACTACCCTCAAAAGGATGTAGGAATGGCTTTCTTAAAGGAAGACGCTTTCTAACAAAACAGTGTTCCTCTAGGAAAAGGAAGCCATTCTGTGTTGTGCTTACTTCATCGAATGTCTCTGTCATTTTCTGCATCACGTCACAGTTCTGTAAACTCTGGAACATCTCTGCAGTAACCATTCCTATAGAAGCAACAAAGAAAATAAACTGCAGACATTACAAACCTGGAGACAGGTTTGACGCTGTAGAAATACCATCAAGGCTGCAATGACACAGAATTAGAAAGCTAAGTATAGTTGGTAGAGGGAATGTGGCTCAGTGGCAGAGCATCTACTTTGCCTGCAAAAGATCCCAGATTCAGTCTCCAGCTTCTCCATAAAAGTGATACTGTGTTTGTTTTTAAATTTATGCAAGCTACTTAAATCTAATTTTATTCACCTCCCACCGATCTGGAGAAAGGACGATATAAAATCAAATAAAATGTGACTCTGAAGACATGTGACAAGTCAGAGAGCAAACAATACCGACTCAGTGTTAGGCAGCTTCATGTGTTCTTTTTACACACTCTCTTCTCAGTCTCTCCTCTGCTTTAACTATCAGAAAGATTTGGTAACAACTCTGTCTATGAATCAAAAGTGATTAATTCCAAAAGGCAACACAGTTGTGTGTATCTTTCTAACCTTCAGTGGAATACACTAGCAAACAAGCATCATGGACCCCTCCAAAAGCTGATACCTAAGGATACATGACCCATGGGGACAAAAAACCTCTCAGACCGGAGATCTGCACTATGGAGCGGGGGGTGGAGGGGGAAAAGCCAAATCAGCCCTCCTCCCTCTTCTATTCTTTGAGGTCCTGAGGCTCTGTCCTCAGAAGAGGGAGAAGGGGCAAATTTTACCCAATTACCCCTGACCTGCATCAAAACCCATGAGCGTCCAATGACCTCCAGCATAATCTTTTCATAGTTCAAAAGGGGCCGCTGGGATAAAGGAGTAGAGGGAAGATCCACATTGACCAGCAAGTTACACTGGCAGGGTAGCATACCACCAAACATTTCTAACTTGCCACCCCTTATCAAATCATTTTCATTCGTTATCCTTTACATAACTCAATTCTGTATTAATTTCTTAAACATGAGCTCCAAAGACTAATATAACTTGTGAACATTCCATTTGTTTGCCTCTTTCCTGCAATCCCATTATTCAAATGAGAGCCAGTTTGGTGTAGTGGTTAAGTGTGCGGACTCTAATCTGGGAGAATCGGGTTTGAGTCCCCACTCCTCCACTTGCACCTGCTAATGTGACCTTGGGTCAGTCACAAGCTCTGGCACAGCTGTCCTTGAAAAAGAGCAGTTTGTGTCAGAGTTCTCTCAGCCCCACCCACCTCACAGGGTGTCTGTTGTGGGGAGGGGAAGGGAGAGGAGTTTGTAAGCCGCTCTGAAACTCCAAGTGAAGGGTGGGGTATAAATCCAATCTCTTCTTATTATTATTCAAATTGGAGGTTCATTCATTTATGTGGACTCATTAGGAGATAATAAGCCAGATTCTGAATAACGCAATCATTTAAAGAATCAGCCCTGCTCCAAACAACTTGTACGCACTCTCCCTCAAAAGGAAACTGGCCAGAGGAAAAAGATTTACCTTGGCTGCCTGAGCACTGAATGAAGAAATTGATAAGGTCCAGAAGGGCCACATCACGATCTTTCTTATAAGCTTCAACCCAGTCATCGACCACAGACTAAAACGGATGACAAAAAAAGCCAGAGATCAAAAACTAGAAGCACACCAATTGCTAGCAGCCTTTCACTATTTCACATACAAAAGTCTAGTCAGCTCAGGAAGTTGATGTACCTGCATAGCTCTTTTGCCCATGCTAACCACTTCAAATAAGGTAACTGCTTCAACCACATCTCCATTTTGTGGCTGGTTCGACCTTCTGCTACTGGAAGAGTTTCGTCTTCTGTTTTCACACTGCTCACGGATTTTTCTTTTCCCTTTCTAAAGCAATAAAGATCAAACGTATTCCTTAACTAACAATGGTAAGCGAGAAGACAAAGGGTTTCATTCATCTGATAGGTACATAATTCTTTCAAAGCAACTGCAAAGAGAGAAACATAATGACGGGCAGGTGCTTAATGGCCTAGAAATGTCTTGATGCTTAGCACAGAAGAGTAAGCATGAAGCCTACAAGCTGCTCTGCTGGCACAAGGGGGAAGAAAGGCCCCTTTTGACTCTCCAAAAAGGTAAGTCCAAGATCATGGGATCCAAGCAAACAAAAAGGCATGCGGTACAGAGGCAGAAGTGAAGAGGAAAATGGGGCAAGATCATCTCTCCTCTCTCTTGGGCCAACCTTTCTTATCTATGGGTATGAGAAAGACAGAAAGATAAGGGAGTTAAAAATAAAGGTGGAACATTTACAGATCAATCCACCAGTGCTTATTTAATTTGTTAAATCAGTACTATTGCCATCCATCACATCTTTACACACTGGCAATAATACAGAATTAACACCTGTTACTGTTGTCAGGCAGAAGAAATGGTTTTCACACTTTAAGGAAGGCCATGCATAGGTAATCTTAGATTTGTGTTATGCCATTTATCATTGTATTATTTTGTTTTTTCTTGCTTTACTTGCACAATTTAATCTCCTCAGACTCGCATCTACATAATCAAATTCACAATACATACATACACACACACTCACCAAGCATAACAATGACAAGTAGCACGCAGAAGACAACTTCACAAAATTGGTAGGATATCTGCTCTATACAATGTGATATTCAAAGCTCTTTGTTCCATTTCCTAAGGGTGCAGAGAGTCACCCACTTATGAAACGACTGAGTTTAATAGTAGAATTAGCTGAAACCAGCAGATAGTAGACAGAACCTCTAATGGTGATTTCCACACAAGAATGAACCACATATATTGCAAAAAAAGTTATTTCATAACTGTGAGCCTAGTTCCTACATTTGGGCTCGCAATTACATTTTTTTTGCATGTTGGAGAACAGGACTGTAGTAATGGATACCTGTGCTGCCAAGCCAAGGCTCATCCCCAGCGGCAAATTGGGGGGGGACTTACCAGGAGTATGAGGAAGGCCCGGCTGACATGCAGTGATGTGCCCACACCACTGTCCACTTGACCCGGAAGGAACATCATCACATCAGGGATGTTGGGGCAACACTCTAGTATTTGGATAAAAACTATTGGGGGGGGGAGTTCCCGCCACCAGCCAGCTGATCAGCAGTGGGGCCTGGCAGCAGGGGACCCCTGCCTCCACTGGAGGGCTCTGGTAACCCTATCCCAACCATAAGAAAGAGGTAGACATAGGCCTGAATGTCTGAATATAGCCCAAGAATTCCATGTGATAAATATGCATGTGTCAACCAGCCCAAAAACATGCCCAATAAACCCTTTTAACCTCAGAACTCAAGGCTCTGTGAAACTAAATGCCTGATAATGTTTCCTGCAAATGCTCCAGTCACAGGAAAACCATACATTCATAGCCATGAGAGATACCCAGTCGGCTACCTAGTCCAATATCCTGCCCTAAAATTGGATATCCCTGTATCAGACCCATTCAATGCTGAATGCTAACAACAGCATTCACTGCTTAAGAGTCTGAAAAGTGGAGAAATAAATATCTATTTTCAGCCTTTCACAAAATTCACCTGGAATTGTCAGCGTTCACATATGAATGTCAACATTTGCCAGTTTCATCTATTTACTGTTAACAGACACATCTTATCACATGTTCAGATCAATGAAACCTAGACAGACCTATTTTCTCTTGTACAATTAAAAAATTCACAAACATAACAGAAACTTACAATAGTTTTAACACTGCCATTTCTTAAACAGTTGCCATTTTGAGCAGTGGGTTCAGGGACAATCTCCTCATGGATCCCATTTTCTCTAAGTCATTGGAGGAAAAAAGATGACATAAAGATGTGAACAAAGGGAGTAACATATCTGAGGTGTGTCTGCTTAAAAGAACCGATACCCCAATCCTGAAAATAAATACTAAATATTGCAGCAAATAGTTTCTCAATCCAGGACTTCCTATGTTTATCAAACAGGGACTCTTGTATTAATTAGCATGTTTAACACAAATCCAAAGATACACACAAGGCCTAGGTTGAGACAACATGAAACACAATTTTATGACTATGTGAACAACCCTAGTGAATCCTTAGACTTGCATGCTCCGTCCCTTCTTGCACGCAGCTGCTTCACTTCTACTGCAAACTAGAGTTTGCCTGTACAGCCCAAATGGCAAACTATGGTTTGAGCTTTTTCACAAACCAAGATTCTAAACAGCATGCCTCTGCCAGGCATGAACACTGTTAGCTGCTGTGCTCTTGGGCTCCCTTTGCTCTTCCCACTCAGTCCTTACTCGCACACAGAGCCTGAGCTAAACCCCAAGTCACATCAGATCCAAATGCAGGTGCCTGGAAAAACTGGAGCTTGCCCACCAAACCAAACCTGGATTTTAGAATGCCATGGAAATCTGGAGTTTAATTCAAGCCTTCCCAAACCCCAGAAGGCTTCAATAATACTCTGTATATGAGGAGGAAGGAAAGAGTAAGGGGAAGAAAGCTATAAGTAGCATTAATGCCCAACGTGGACAAACGCCTGTTTGTTGTGATATCTGAATGCAGCCAGTGACTTGTTTCCAGTATGAAATCCTGGTTTACAGGGAAAGCAGAAAGCACTGTTTGTTTATTCAGATATATGGCTAAATATGGATTCAGATGGGTAGTGCGTGTTGGTCTGAAGCAACAGAATAAAGTTTGGGTATGCATGTGCATGAAAGCTTACACACAGAATTAAACTTTGTTGGTCTTAGAGGTGCCACTGGACTCAAACTTTGTTCTGTGGCTAAATATGGTTAGTAGTAAAAATGGAAATAACTCATTAGATTTGTCAGGGGAGGGGAAGTATGCATGCCTGAAAATTCCACAGGCTAATACAAGTAGCAGCAAACCACAGTTTTGCTATTATATCACATTGGAACCAAGCCAACATGGGACAAAATTAGACATAGCAGAGGAGATGCAAGAGCAGTTTACAGACTTTTCAAAAACTGAAATGTGGCTGGGGGAAACTGTAATTGGCAATGGAAGAGCAGCTATTTTCTGTTGGGGGAAAAACAACCCTCCCTGGCTGCTTTTTTCCTTCAGAACTAAGAAAACTGGGGTCCCCCTCTCTTCTTCTCCATATGTGGTAAATAAGGGGTGGATTGTTTTCAGCAGAAAAAAAGGCAGAAAGGGGTAAGACGTAGCCACCTCTCTACTCGACTGCAGCCTCTCATGGCTTCTTTTCATTTATATGGTTTCTCAGACAGAAAATTCTCCATGCACTTCCTATGTAATATCTAGCTTGGCCCATGCACTAAATCATCTCAGTTTGCTATTGGTTGCAAAAACTGTAAGAATAAATAAAAACAATCTCAGTGAAGACCCTCTGAAATCTAGTGTACATCCATCTGCTCCTAGAAAAGGACGTGTTTTTTCATCATCTCAGTTATACAAATGTTGTAGAACCATTCAAAATAAAACACAGGTTGTATTAACCTCCAATACAATTTTTTCCAAATTCTTGCTTTAAGGACCCCTAGACTACTACAGTTTAGTTCATCTGTTCAGGCTTGTGCGTATATGATAACACAAGAAACAGCAAATCCAAACAGAGCCTGCCTCACCCTAATTTATATACATGTACACTAATTACAAGTCTCATTTTCACACTAGATTTTCCCACACCTTCCCACATACCAGTTAGCAATTTATTCACAGTGCCCCCAGGCAGTAAGTACTTACATAATGTTTCGAGTTACCGAAATAAATTCAAAAGAAACAATAACAGATTTCATCCCTGGTATGTCTGGTTGAAGCTGGTCTGGGAAAGTTCTGTAACTGAGATCTTGAAGGGCAACTGCCAGTCACAACAGACATGAAACCAGCTACTACTGGTTTAACAGATTACTATAAAACATAGTATGTTCAGCCATTGTGGGTGTAAAATAAAAGATGCTAACATTAAACATTTTCAGGTGGGGAGCCATATTGGACTGCAGTGGAAGAGCAATATTTGAGTTGCTCTTAAAGACCCACAAGATTTCCAGGGTATAAACTTCTGCGAGTCAAAGCTGCCTTCGTCAGTATCTGAGGAAGGGAAATTTGACTCCCAAAAGCTGATACCTTGGAAATCTTGTTGGTTTCTAAGGTGCTCCTGGTCTCGAATGCAGACACTAAACAGTTCACCTCTGATACTGTTTATTAGACATTGCAACAAAAAGACAGGAACTCTCCAGTTGGTCAAATTAAGGCCACACTTCCTATGCACACTTCATTGGGAGTAAGTCTCACTGAACTTAGTGGAGCTTACTTCTGAGCACTGGCTCAGACTGTACATGTGACTATATATCATAGGGCTAAAATGCTCAGGCCTCCATAACAGCCAGCCTCAATCAAATTCATCCACTGATTTGCTCCTGAACATACAAATATAAAATGTGCATCAAAGCAGGTGTGGGTACCCTAAGGCCTTCAGGGCACATCAGGCCCATCAAGCCTATTTTAGCAACCCATGGTCATTCACAATGCACTCCTAAACAGAATGACACCCATGGACTTCAGCTGACTTAGAGGGATGTAACTCTGCTTAGGACTGCACTGTAAATTAGTGAGAAGGGGGAGGGAAAGATTCAGGTGAAACACAGGTACAGCCTCTAAAACCCGAGCTGCTGACCAACCCCTACATCAAATATCATTGTGTTTATTTCCTTATGGTGTTTATAGACTGTCTTTCAGCCACAACTAGGGTTGCCAGCTTTGGGTTGGGAAATACCTGGAAATACCTGGAGATTTGGGGAGTGAAGCCTGGGAAGGCTGTGGTTTGGGGAGGGGAGTGACCTCTACAGGGTACAATGCCATAGAGTCCACCCTCCAAAGCAACCTCCAGGGGTCATCTGGAGATCAACTGTAATAGCAGAAGATCTCCAGGTGCCACCTGGAGGTTGGCAACCCTATCCACAGCAGTTCCCACATCATCTGGACAAACAATCATGAAAAGGCACCACTATGAAAACTGAATAGCTCGGCTCACACTTATTTTAGGCCCAAAATCAGGATGCTCAAAGGGTGGCAAGGCCGCATGAGACAAGGATCGTGCTAAAAGATGAGTTTGCACTGATCACAGAACCCAAATTACAATCTGAACCTACAAGTGTGCAAGCCAGAGTTGCTTACGTGCTTTCACTTTCCACCCGCTCAGCAGTCCCATTACTATGGAGCAGAGGCCTCCAGAAGCAGAGCAACAAACAGATCTATAGTTTGCCAAGGAAGACACCATGATGGTTTGACAGTTCACTGCAAGCCATAGCTCCTCGATTCTGCTTAGCTCCTTGAGGAAGCAGACACAGAACTATAATCAAGCTTCCAGAACCATGACTGACATTTGCATTGAAACTCATTTTGCAAGCCTTACAAGACCTCAGAAACATCAAAAAAATAAAGAGTGGCCACACTAGCAACCTGGGATACCACTGTGGCAACTCTCTGTTTTTGTATTTCCAAAGTGCTCAAGGAAGGGGGACACAAACTGTGTCTCAGTTCAACCACCACACACAGCTCACCCCCTCCCATCACTTACATAAAATGAGAGGCATGCAGAATTCATTTCTCCCCTAGAAATTGCCCAAGCTGTGAAGAGACCATAAGGGAAGCCACAGTGACAAGCACAGCAATCCCTTTTCTTAAAAAGAACCAAGAATCAAAGCTATACATCAACCAACAACCCATATGTTCCCGCTGCTCACAGAGGAAGGAGGATCTTATTCTAGAGTAAAAAGGAAGGGTTACACACACACGACTGCCCCTTTGCTGAAAACCATTGATTTTTCCTCTTCCATTGATGCTTTGGAGAGAAACAGCGGCCATTGGGTTAATACTGCATGCAGCTTGGTGTAATATATGGTCTGGCTTTAGGACATCTGGCCAAGACAGAATCATACCACAGCTGAAGAACCCCCTGAGACCACTACTGAAATGTGCCATCTATCCTCTTTCTTAGAGGCTGTATCCACATGTCCCTGGAAGCACGTGTGTATCATTTTTCTGATGTAGCCCACTAGCCCATTTACAATTGTCAGTGTGATTCCTAAACAAGAACGTATACACGCACACCCCTGCAACCCTCCAAAAACACAGGAAATACATGACCCAGACTGTGCAATAAAAACATCACTGTACAGTTTGTGCCCTGCTTTTCAGTTCTTACTTGTGGTTGGGGAGATTAACAACGGAATTGGGTTCAGCTATCATTGCCACTACATTCTCTCAGCAGCACATAAAGCAAGTTTAGCCTTAGTAGACACTTCAGCATGAAAATGAATATAAGCAGCAGAGATCCAGATTCATGTTCTTCAGGTCTCCATCAAGAGAAGCAAACAGCAAAACTGCACAAAATAAAAAGAAGCAAGACAGGACAAACCTCAAATTATAGCATTTAAAATATATGTTAACAGCAGAAATTCTAAAACTAAATGCCAAAATTCTAGATTCTAAAAAAATTCTTATTTTTTATTTTAGCAGCAAACCCATGGGGCAAAACTTGTGAATGATCCTATCAGTCAAAAATCTCCTTCAGTAAAATACCATTTTGGAAACCATTAGTGTTCAAAATGCAGTAGACCAACAATGGAGTTAGCAAGATTTTTTCCTTGGGCTGGAAAAAAAAGGTTTATCAAAAAGATAAATAGATCTTTCCATTTGTTACATGTTTATTTCCAACTTTTTCAGGGTGACATATTTGGAGTTATCCTATTTTATCTCCAAAACAGCCTTATGAGCTCTGTTTGGCTAAGAAAAGTTAACTGCTGAAGGACATCACATCAAACTGTATAACTGGACAAGCAACTTGAGTCTCATTAGTCCAAGGCCAGTATTCAGCGTACTACACCATGTAAAGTCTTAATGATTTTGAGTGGAAGCATGCTGTACTGAATTAAGCTCTGTCTCTCATCATACAAGTGAGAGCAGAAGTACTAGCAGATGTGAATTACACCAAGCCTATTGTCTATTTGTTTATTAAAATATTTAAATGCTGCTTTTTTGCACCATAAAAAGCCATTAAAGCAATTAAAATAAAATGCATTACAATAAAAAACCAGCTACACTAAAAAACAAAACAAATTAGAATGAGCGGAATAAAACCAAACAGGAACCTCTCCCCCCAATTACACATCCTCTCTCCACCCACAATAACACAGGTTCCACAGAAGACAGAGGATAGCAAAACATAGTAGTTGTTTTGCTAGAAAAGCCGGATATTAATTTCTGACAGTATACAACGTACAAAAATCAATAAAACCTAACTGGTTGTTGATCCTGACTGCTGTTTAAACTAAAGTTTGGATAGCCTGTTATTTGACAGCCTTAGCTAGAAAACATTTTCTTTGTTCCTGCTCTAGAACCCCACTAGAAAATAATCTGCTGTTTCATTCGAAAGGTGGCCAACTTTTCTAAATGAAAGCCAAGACACAGCATTGAAAAGGTGGCCTTTTACTATACGAAGGCACAGTTCATCTATTCCACCTTTGTGCCATGAAACAGAAGACATCAAATGTTTGTTTTAAACTTCCAAGAACCAAACTAGTAAGACTTGTTCAGAGTGAACTGCTCTTATGATCAGGAAGTTCTGTTTTACTTGCAATCCATACCTACCTTCCTTTAAAGTTTAAAGCACTGTATTGCGGTGAGATATAATACAAAGAAAATGATATCAATATGTATGTGTAATTTTACCAAAGTAGATTCAATGCAGACACATCTATAAGAGAATGCAACAGAAACTGCTCATGAATGCAAATCTAAGGAGCATGGAATCAAAATACAGAAGGAACTTCAGAATGTGATGCCTTGCATCTATGTTGCAAAGTGTATCCTAGCATCAGTGATGATGCAAAAAAATTTCAGAAGCACACCCTAAAGGGCAGCCAGGTCACTTTTTGGGAAGTGAAGCAGCGTCCCTATGCCTTTAACAGTGCATGACAGGTAGAAAATCACTGGGTGTTGATTTCACACCAGAGAGAAAGCAAGGGCAGGTTAACGCTTGAATTTCTGTCATGCAACTGTCAAAAGACCCAAGCGCCTTGCAAGAAGGGCGTCAGCACAAGGGAAGAATGCATGGACAGGATGCAACGTGAACTTCCGTAAAAAGCCGGGCAGAAGAAAGAGACATTTGTTGCAATAGAAGAAGAGCGCGGGAGAAAGCGAGAGTACAGTGAAATGCATGCATAGGGAGGATGTCAAGCACAAAACTGCAACAAGAGAAGCCGAAGCCTTGCAAGCTGAGGGTCCTCCTCACCCCAGGAGCAACATTCGGGCAGCATTGCTGACCCCGCGAGCCCCCCTACCCAGCGGGCTGCACCGGCCGAGTCTTGGGCCCGGTGCCTGTCAAGAAAGGAAAGGCGCATACCCGTCGTCAATCACAGCAGCAGCAGCAGCAGCGACGAACCCGCCCACAGCAGCCGCTCGCCGGACGATCCTAAGGACGGGAGAGTTCCAAGGTTTCCTAGATCACGTGCCGCGGCTTGTCTAATAGAAGCAGATTTTGGAGCCATCCGTCTCTGCGAAGGAGCGCCACTGAGAGCCTCCCCCCTCCCCTTTCTGTTTCTGCTCGGGACAGAAGGTGACGTGGTAGGCAGAGCTTAGAAGCTTCTGACGCCTGCGCTGTACATGAGGGAAGGAAGAACAACCAGAGTGGCTTTCGTTTAGTTGGGGACTTGTTTTGAGAGAGGACCGCAGCGCCTGGGGGAACTTAATGAGTGTTACACACAGAAATCCTGATGGGTTCTCGGTGGCGGCAGCTACTGCAGCTGCGTCGGGGGTTCCGCGCGCTTTTCCCTTTGGCACCTGCTTGTTGCCTGGTGCGTCGCCCTGCCAAGCTTTTGCACGCCAGTGTCGTCAGCTACCGCTTCCTGGGGTCGAGCAATGGGCCCACTCGAGGAAAGCAAGATAAGGGTGGTGGTAGGTGGGGGACAGGACTCGGCGGTGACCAAGACGACGAAGAGGAAGGCGAGGAGGAGGAGGAGGAGGAAGAAGAGGAGGAGGAGGACGGAGAACTTGAGATTGAGGACGAGCTGCTGGAATCGGCGCTGCCCTCTCTGCCATTTGGCGTCCAGAGAGTGTTTGTGGTGCATCCAGCTGTGAAATGGGGGCCAGGCAAGGCTCGGCTAACCACAGGTGTGATGCACGTTGCCAGGCAGCTATAAACTCGTGTTTATAGCCGGTTCCTATGAGGCTTTGTTGTCCAAGTGGCAACTGTAGCCTTAGCTGTGTTGCGTGAATACTAGCGCCAGGCGGGGAAATTGCTGCAGCTGAGTTTTATGTGCACCTTCTGAACCGTTACTCTTGCACAGGGTGGCAAAACCAAAACGATTGATTTCTGTATATGGTGCGGGTATGTAGCCGCACAGGTAAAAGTGAACGCGAGTTGATACAAGGCGTGGTGTTCCTGCCCCTGTGCAGAAGAACTTGCAGGAATTAATCTTGATTCTTGTGTTTGGACAAACGTGTGTGACACAGGTGTTTCCATGTCACTAAATGGTTTGTCCTGTACGCTAGTGTTTTTTAAATATATCTTTGGGGATTCTTCTGTTTCAGTGAATAGTGTGGCAGTGTTGGTACTGAAGAAGGAAGACAACACAACCTTTGCAGGCTTTTATGTTGACAAATCTGCCAAATGTATTAGCGGTCCTCTCAACAGGGGTAGATTGACTCCCTTGTGGGGAGGGCGGGGTATAAATTTAATAATAAATAAATAAAAATAAAATTAACTTACAGGGGAATTTCCTGGTGGGCCACTGCAGTTGAAGACTGGTGGGTGTTAGGAGCAACTATAACCAAGTTCTAGCAACTCTCCCAGAGCCTCAAGGACCTTTAGCTTAGACGCTTAGTTGCTGATGATAATTGGTGTCCTGCTCTGCTAATAGTTTTCATGAGGCAGCAAGTCAATGAACTAATACCCATCATTAATACAGCTGAACTGAAAAACTCCAGAAGCACTAGAGTGTAGTGCTGTGGGGTAAAGCGAGTTGGCATACTCCCCGAGGCCATTTTCACTCCTTAGTTCATTCCTGCCTCTTAACCACTTTCAAAGTGAAATCTTTGAAACATTTATTAATGTTAATGTTAATTTCTATGCTTTAAAACAGTATTCCTAGTGTTACATTAATCTTTGAAGGAAAATGTGAAACTGGTTTGTAAATACATATCTGCTACTTGAATCTGTGTTCATTTTTATTGATTTAAATATTTATAGTGGTGTGGCTTGTGGATTATATATGTACATGTGTACTTATTGATAGATGGAAAACTTGTTGACAAATTCCTACTGTGCTGAAGTTATAGGTTAGAGTTTTGTCTCTGACTTAACTTTTCAGGTACTAATTTCACCAGTTTTGTATTATAATTGAGTGCTTATGGAAACTTATCATTAGGACTGTACTAATATCTTGTTTTATGATGTTACAGCTGAACTTCAACTTGCTGAGGCTGTTGCGCTCATAAACACCATTCAAGACTGGACAGTTGTAGATAAAATAATTCTTTCTACAAAAAATGCTGACCAGGTTCTTATCTTTGGTAAAGGGAATTTCCAGCTTCTGACTGGTAAGGGGAAAATCCAAGTTCTGAAGCAAGTTTTTCTCTGCTATTACTTTGTAATTGTGCATCATGTAATCCTGTCAATAGTTAATGTTACAATAGACTTAAGAATCTACTTGAATTTTGCATTGCAGATTATTTCAAACAGTTATATGGAATATCCATAAATTAGAACGCTTCATAGAAAGCTGTAAAGTTCTGTGTAAATAATTGGCTGTGAAATATGTGAACAAGCCTAGCAGGTTTAGAATCGCAGACATTTAAGCTTGCCAATTAAGTATCTGTGAATTAGAGACTAGTTTAAATAACTCATGTAATGGAAGATGTTTTGCACTATTAGGTGAGAGAATGTATTCTGTTGATAAGTTATTATGGAGCCAATGCAGTGCAGTGGTTAAGAGTGGCAGACTAAATCTGGAGAACCAGGTTTGATTCTCCACTCCTCCACATGAAGCCTACTGGGTGAACTTGAGCCAGTCACAGTTCTCTTAGAGCTCTCTCAGCCCCACCTACCTCACAAAGTGACTGCTGTGGGAAGAGGAAGGGAAAGCAATTGTAAGCCACTTAAAGATTCCATAGGGTAAAGAAAAACAGGATATAAAAACCAACTCTTTTTTTGCCTTTGCATAAGGAGAGTTCCCCCAGCCTAAGGGATGCTTTCATTGGAGGGCAAACCCTTAACCAGGGAGAAGGGTCCTTAGTTTGGGAGAAACCTTCAGACTTGGCCTAATGGAGTGGTAGAATAAAGATCACTGACTGCAGTATATCATTGCATTCCCATCCTCAGATGCTGCCAATGACTCTCGACCTTTCACGTTTGTATGTGAAACTGATGCTTGATCCTGCAACATGTTCACCTGGATTGAAGGAAAGATGCACAGTTAATGCACACTCTTGGCAAATTCAGATTTGCATTTCTGAAGGAGCCAGTTCTCCATGCCAAATGGCTCACCTCTTTTGAAACTGCACAAAGTCTGAGTCCAGTGGCACCTTTAAGACCAACAAAGTTCTATTCAAGATATAAGCCTACATGTACAAGCACACTTCTTCAGATGCAGTGAAACAAAATTTCCTCAACCATTACATTTTGAAAAAGAGAGGATAGGGGTTTAGTTCCCAGGAAGGGCCAATTAGAGTCAAGACAGAAACAGAAACAAAATTGGAAATTACCAGTCCATACATATAGGTAGAGGGTGAGTAGTAAATTAGCATACAACATAATGAAGATGCTTAACAGATTTAAGGACTAAATAGGAATAACAACCTTAGTTTATATGGATGCCATTTGTTTAGGTTTAATTCCAAGGGAAAACATAGTGAAGCAAATAAATATATCAAAATTGGAGATTGATATGTAAATGTATCCTTCTTAATTGTGGAATGCTGAGAGTAATTAACTGAGTCCCTGTTGTTATGCTCCATCTGTCTCCACTCAAGCATGGAGTAACTAACAGAATCCTTTTCTTTAAGGTGGGGTGATTGGTTGTGCAGTGCTATGTCTCCTCTGTCACCAGACCAGAGAAATACATTCCAATCTACCATTCCAAATTACATTACATTCTTTTTATTGTTGTTGTTGTTCAGTCACACAGTCAAGTCCAACTCTTTGCGACCCCATGGACCACATCACGCCAGGCCGTCCTGTCTTCCTTCGTGCTCTGGAGTTTGCTTAATTTCATGTTTTTTTCATCTCTGACACTGTCTAACCATCTCATCCTTTGCCGTCCCCTTCTTCTTTGACCTTCAGTCTTTCCCAGCATCAGGGTCTTCTCCAGTGAGTACTCCCTTCTCCTTTGGTGGCCAAAGTATTTGAGCTTCAGTATCTGACCTTAGAGGGAACAGTCAGGGTTGACTTATTTTAGGATTGACTGATTTGATCTCCTTGCAGTCCAAGGGACTCTCAAGAGTCTTCTCCATCAGCTGCAGTTGTTTTTTTCAGCTTCTTGGTGTTGGCATCCACTTCTTTAAGCTCTTGTTTGGATTTCTCCAGTTTTTTCACGGTCATCAACAACCTCAGATATGCATCTTTTAATTTTTTTTTTTGAAAAGAGGGGGGATGCATATCTGAGGTTGTTGTCCCAGCAATCTTAATTCCGGCTTCTGACTCATCCAGGCCGGCATTTCGCATGATGTACTCTGCATATAAATTAAATAAGCAAGGTGACAATATACATCCTTGTCGTACTCCTTTTCCTATGCTAAACCAATCAGTTGTTCCATATTCTGTTCTGTCGCTTCTTGACCCTTATACAGATTTCTCAAGAGACATGTGAAGTGATCTGGTACTCCCATCTCTTTAAGGACTTGCCATAGTTTGTTGTGATCCACACAATCAAAGACTAACGTAGTCAATGAAGCAGAAGTAGATCTTTTTTCTGGTACTCTCTTGCTTTCTCCATAATCCAGCGAATGGTGGCAATTTGATCTCTAGTTCCTCTACCTCTTTGAAACCCAGCTTGTACTTCTGGCAGTTCTCTATCCATGTACTGCTGAAGCCTAGCTTGTAGGATCTTTAGCATGACCTTGCTAGTGTGTGAAATGAGTGCAATTGTGTGATAGTTTGAACATTCCTTGGCATTGCCCTTCTTTGGGATTGGGATGTATACTGACCTTTTCCAATCCTGTGGCCACTATTGTGTTTTCCAAATTTGCTGGCAAATTGAGTGCAGCACTTTTAACAGCATCTTCTTTTAAGACTTTGAATAGCTCAGCTGGGATACCATCACCTCCACTAGCTTTGTTGTTAGTAATGCTTTCTAAGGTCCATTTGACTTCACATTCCAGGATGTGTGGCTCAAGGTCAGTGATTACACCATTGTGGTTGTCAAGGACTTTGAGGTCCTTCTTGTATAGTTCTTCTGTGTATTCTTGCCATCTTTTCCTAATCTCTTATGCTTCTGTTAGGTTCCTACCGTTTTTGTCCTTTATCATGGAACGCTCCCTTGATTTCTCCAATTTTGTTGAAGAGATCTCTAGTCCTTCCCATTCTATTGTTTTCCTCTATTACTTTGCATTGTTCATACAGGAAGGCCTCCTTATCTCTCCTTGCTGTTCTCTGGAAATCTGCATTCAGTTGGGTAAATCTTTCCTTTTCACCTTTGCCTTTCGCTTTCCTTCTTTTTTCTGCTATTTGTAAAGTCTCATCAGACAGCCACTTTGCTTTCTTGCATTTCTTTTTCTTTGGGATGATGGTGATTGCTGTCTTATGTTCAATGTCACGAACCTCTGTCCATAGAACCTCTGTCCATAGACATTACATTCTACTATTCACTAGATGACAAACATATCTACATGCATCCGTGTATTCATGGATAAGTATTCATGGCCTTTTCAGCATGAGATCATGGTTGGTCACATCATGTGTATTCACTAACTATATGTCAAACGTGTGCTGAGGTGGTGAATGCAAAGATATGGGTGGTTTTGATGGAATGAATGGAAACTTCCATTCAGCAACCATAATTTTAGTGATCAAAGGAGGCACCAAACTGATTGTACAGCAGATTATTACAGCATTTAGCTGAAAAAAACGGTTGAGTTACTTTGCTGTATATTTGTAACACCTGAAAATTAAGGCACAACCAAATAGGATCAATAGTAATAATAATGAAGTCGATAATTCTGAAGGAAATAAATTTGTCAGAATTAGAGACTAATGAGCAGTTGTATCCTTAATTGTGGAAAGGTTGAGAGTAATGAACTGAGACCCTGCCATTACACTCCATCCGTCTCCTCTCAAGTACCCTTATTTATTTGCTTCACTAGGTTTCCCCCCCTGAATTAAACCCAAACAAATGGTAACCATATAAACAAAGCTTGTTATTCCTGTTTGGCCCTCGAATCTATTAACCATCTTCATTATGCTGTATGCTAATTTACTGTTCACCCTCTGCCTTATATGTACGGACTGGTGAATTCCCCAGTCCCTTTTCCCGATTTCCAAAAAGCACTGAGAGTGGAACTAGACAAATTATTGATGGAAGCTAGAGCTTGGATTAAAGCATTTCTCTTTAAAGTAGTTTTAAAACCTGAGGGAGGATCTATTCTACTTGAGCTTATCCAGGCAGATAAATATTATAGCCAATGGGATCAACTATTGGAAAATAAAATGAAATGCCTAGGAATAACAAATGATATGATTAAGAATACGGGAACTAAAGACATTATAAGACAAATTTAACAATCTGTAAGGAAATTGGATGTTACAAGTACGTCTATTAGGGCACAACAGGGTATGTTCAACACTCCATTTGGGAATTGCCCTCCCGATGCAGCTGCCGAAATATTTTTATCAATTGACAGTCCCAAAACTAAGAAGAGCTTTTACTTTGGCAAGACTGAACGTTCTTCCCTTGCTGGTTTTGGAGGGCAAATATAATAAAGTATCATACTCTAATAGAACATGCAGATGCTCATACAATACAGTCGAACCATCAAACATATTATTATGGAGTGCCCTATATTCGATGAGTTGAGGGCTAATTTAGTCACCCCTTTATTTAAAGATACGGAATTGCTAAATGTGCGAGCCCAGGTGTCATGGCTACTATCGGATACAAATGATCGTGTCACTCTCTCAGTGGCAAAATTCATAGGTGCGGTAATCAAATATAAGAGAAATAATACTGAGTAAGGTCTTTTAAAATGTTTTTTGTTCTAATTTCTGCTTAAGGTGATAGCCATATGAACAATACTAGATAGACAGGCAGGCAGGCGGATTCCATTTCATTCCATCTGAGGAAGCATGTATGCATACGAAAGCTTATACTCTGAATAAAACTTTGTTAGTCTTAAAGGTGCCACTGGACTCAGACTTTGTTTGCTTCAGACCAACACAGCTGCCCCACCTGAATATCTTATTTGAAACTGACCTTAATTGATTTGCAATATGTTGTTGCATGGAAGGTTTGAGTTCAGAGGGAGGATGGTATTTTTTTTAAAAAAAATCAGCATGCCCACCCTGGAAGTGCCAGAAGTAGCTCTTTGGATGCTGGTTGTGGTCTTTATTCCTCCTTTAAACACAGGAATTGTCGGACTGACGTGTGTGAATTGTAGCATTCCGAATGGTTTTTGGCCTGTCTGTAAATCTTGAGCCTGAGGGAAATCTCATAAGGATTCTGTTTGTTATAGCTGCTGTGTATTTAAATCATTTGTATCCTGCTTTTCTGTGTCAAATCTAATACTGAATGCAGTTCACAAAAGTATTTTTTAAAAGTAGCAACAAATCAACTAAAACTGATAAAACACACAAGGTGAAGACAGCAGATAGAAGGTTAGCAGTAGAGAGCAAAAGTGAAAGCTATGACAGCAGGAGCAATTTAAAATGTTCAGATGGTGGGGACACCCTGGACGGGGTCTACGAAGATGTCCAGAGTGGACAGGTAGGTTCATCTGGGAGCAGGTGGTCTTTCAAATATGCTGGCCTCAGTACCTGTACCTTGGATTGGACATGGAAATAAATTGGCAGCCAATGGAACAAGACGGGAGTTATATGAATATGATGGGAAGCTATTTGCCTAGAAGGAATTTTTATTCCAGGAAAGCAACTGGCTAATTGTGAGATAATAGTACGTTATCTGAGGTGGTACCATGGAGTGTCTTGATTGTGCAAAATAAACTTTAAAGATCAGAACTGAACCTGCAAAGGATGAAATATTAAGTGCAAACAATATGATTGGATCGGCTCAGAGACACAGAGTTTTTGAATATTTTGGTTTTGTAGATATTGGTCCTTGCAGTGAAATCATTATATAGTCTTCCCAATGTTGTTTGTCAAACAATATTTATTCCATAAACTGCAAGTATAGTATTGCAGGCTGCAGTACTATGCACTGTTCCCTCTAAGCTGTGGAGTCTTGTGAGCAAAAGTTCTACTTTGTGAGCGACAGGCATTAAAGTTGTGAGCGAGCGATTGGGCTACTGCATAAATTAGTTTGCTCTGGAGCCATCCCTTCCCGAGCTGAGACAAAAATGTGTGAGCCAGAGGCTAAGAGACTGTAAGCTAACTCACACTAACTTAGCTTAGAGGGAATACTGGTCCTATGCACACTTACTTGAGCACAGGTGCTGTTGAACTTGGTGAAACTTGTGATGTTTAGTGGAAGGATACATACTCTCATGATGTCTGCCTATATCTTTCCTGCAAGCAAAGAATGTAGCTTTTCAGTACTGTTAGTTCAATTTTAATAGTAACAGCTGCAAAATGATATATCTTAGTAATTTTCTTTTAGACAAGATTGAAGAATTGCCACATATATCAGCAGTCTTTGTGAATGTAGAAAGACTCTCTCTCCCCACTAAGGTAACTACAAAATTTGATATTAAAACAAGTCTGCCTTCATGTTTTGAAGTCTGCATTTGTATTGTGTTTTTATAGTATCCATAAAGTAGAAATGTGCCTAAATCTGCATGTCAATGAGACACTCAGAAATTAGCAAGCCAGATTTAATTCTGGGTTATTATAAATTTGTTATCCAAAGGGTTTGGCACTTCCGTCCTATGCATATCAATTTGGGAGTGAGCCCAATTGAATTCAATGAGTAGATGTGCTTATAATTGGTCTATACAATAACCTTGATTGCTTCACAAGTAAATTACTCCCAAGATTTGCGTACATAGATCAAAATCTGACTATACCCCTATGTTACTATCTTTTTACTATTGCCTTTTTAATGATCGTGGGCACAGCTGGTCTAAACATTCTGTAACTGTAGCTTCAAGTATTTTCTTATGATGAGTTTCTTGTCTGTGGCATAATATATATATACACATATCATTAAATGTGGCATACTGTTGTGAGTTCTCATACCATACATTTGGTAGTTCGATGGTGAGGGCTGGGAAATGCTCAGTATGATCTTGTAGCAAGTATTTGTTTATTATGCTGGAGAGGAACAAGCCAGTCATGAGAAGGTGGCTTTGGTTCAGGTAAAGCAACTCACAGGCCAGCTCATGGATACAGGGTTACAGGAAAGTAAGCACAAAGTTCTTTTCTACCTCTTCTGCATGAGATAGTCAGATGGTTAAAGAAAGGAATGGAAGAATTTTTTTAAAGGAGCAACTTTATCTCTGTATTCTAATTCTGCTTGACCACTGAGACCTTGGGCTTCTTGCTTCCGTGCTGAAGAGAAAAGGACCTCTCTCCTAAAATTATCCTGCTGTAGGTATCTGTCAGGTGATGCTAATTTCACAGGGACAATTTATTAAAGTTCCATATACTGGCTGTTCAACAGACAACGTACAAATCTTTTTTTCCCCTTTTTTAAAGAAAGCATTTGAAGAAGCTTGGGGAGTGGAGGTGTTCGACAGATATTCAGTTGTTCTTCATATTTTCCGTCGCAACGCTCGGACTAAGGAAGCAAAACTTCAGATAGCATTGGCTGAAATACCAATTCTAAGGTATTAGAAGCAGTACAAGTAGCATTTCATTATCTCAACAGAATAGCAAAAGCAGTTCGGAAAAAGTACTGCATTCAGATATTGCGAACAAACCATAATCTGTCATGTGAACAACTTGAAATCCTCGTGTTCGTACACTCCATTCCCTTCCTTTTTGCACATACATCCTTTCCATGTGTAGAGTAGAGACCCCTGATTTAGGAAGTCTTCAGGCTAATCAAAATTTGTTATGACCTCTAAATTTGGATGCTTTAATTGTAGTTTGACCTTGCCTAAGACAGAGTCCAATTTTTAAAACTTCCCAGATTCAGAAGCCATAACAAGTTTGTAACGAAGAATTCCTAAATCCTTTCCATGTGTAGAGTAGAGACCTCTGATTTAGGAAGTCTTCAGGCTAATCAAAATTTGTTATGACCTCTAAATTTGGATGCTTTAATTGTAGTTTGACCTTGCCTAAGACAGAGTCCAATTTTTAAAACTTCCCAGATTCAGAAGCCATAACAAGTTTGTAACGAAGAATTCCTAAATCACAAACAAATTCTGGTTTCTTCATTATATCTGAATACTTAACACAACCAGTGACTAGAACAATGATTTGGGTCATCTTGCTCCTCTCGCACAGGATGCTTAACTGCATTATATAACTTAGAATAGAATGGGATGTTTTGTTTAGTTCATCATTCATAAGTGTATAAGTTAATTTAACTTGCCTTTTGAAGGAATATACATAAAAGAATTAATTGATCCCAAGCAACTAGGTGTGTCTTAATTATTCCTCTCTTTTAAATATGACAGTCATGGGCTAGAATCCTGTGAAAGCTAATTTATTATCAGGAGGTGCACACTGAAGGAGACATATTTTACTTTATGTTGTTTACAGTCTGCCTTTCTCACTTGGATGCAAAGCTGATTGCACAGAGTGAGTCAATAAGATTATGCATGGGATAGAGCAAGTAGAGAAAGTACTTTTCTCCCTTTCTCACAATACAAGAACTCATGGGCACGCCATGAAATTGCTGAGCATTAGAACGGATAAAAGGAAGTACTTCTTCACCCAACGAGTAATTAACACATGAAATTCACTGCCACAGAAGGTGTTGGCAGCTACAAGCATGGACGGCCTTAAGAGGGGATTAGATAAGCATATGGAGCAGAAGTCCATCAGTGGCTATTAGCCACAAGGCATAGATAGGAACTCTCAGGCTGGGGCAAGTGATGCACTATATTCTTGGTGCTTGGGGGGAGCAACAGTGGGAGGGCTCCTAGTATGCTGGACCCCCTGATGGCACCTGGTATTTTTGGCCACTGTGTGACAGAGTATTGGACTAGATGGGCCATTGGCCTGATCCAACATTGGCTTCTCTTATGTTCTAAGGCAGTCAACAGGATGGGACATTCAGTAAACAATAAAATAGGATTTGAGTTGTAGAGCCAACCAGAATTCTAAAAACCAAACTGAAGCAAAGCGCAGGTGTTAACATGACACATTAAACAATGCAAAAATATTAGATAGTAAAAATTTTCAGCAAGCTAAACACAGTAGCATAGACCACAGTCCCTAATATTTTATCCAAGTAAGTTTGTGAATCATTTAGTATAGCGCAGCTCTATGAATGACTGGGCCCCATGCAACATATAGGAACATACTGTGAGGTCTTTATTTTAATTGATAATGTATTTGGGTTCTAGAAGGACCTCGTGTTACCTCCATGCAGTTGATTGAAGCACAAGACCAGAAGCCTTTCTGTGTAGGAGGTAGCTTGGCATATGTTGAAGCCTTCTGTTTATGTTTTGTTTTTAAATAGTTTTCTGCAAGTATCTTTAGTTGAGTATGTAATCATATCCAGATATACATCTAGGTAGATATAGATACAGAGAGAGAGAGAGAGACCTCTTACATTGCATTATCATTTACAATTCAATTTATTCTTTTAAACGTATGAAAGTTAGTTCTACAATACATTAAACTGGGGCAGTGTCTTTCCTTTAAGGGCCTTATTTATAGCTTTTGCAAACCATGAAATGTTTCAGCTGGCCCTGGTTTGGGGCTGGACCTGGACATATTTCATGATGTGTGAGAGTACTATTTGGAATAAGAGGCCCAGCACAGTCACACAAAAGTACGTGTTGGTATCACACAGCAGTATGTTTCACTGATTTCAATAACACCTGAGTATTGACTTTAGGAGAATTGGAGCTATTGTAATTTAATGATTCGCCGCTTGTATGGTTAGACGCTTGTAATGCAAAAGTATTATTTCTTTCTTTTACAGGACTAATGTGAGAAATGAGGTCGCTCAGATGGATCAACAGAGGGGTGGATCAAGATACATTATGGGTTCAGGTAGAGTGTACTTGTTGGAAGATCTCAGGTGGACTTACATAGCCAGTCAAAGACCATCACTGTTGTGATCACCTGAATTTTTAATGAACAATATCACAAAGCTCAATTTTCAGACATGAGTTTCCTTTTTAAAAAGAAAAAACTTCCAGTTTTTTTAATAATTATATCATACATGATTAATACAAAATAAGTAGCTACTTACATTACTAAATATAATTCAAAGCAGACACATATATACAACCAAACTTCTTTTTTGACTCGCAAATATAACAGTGGAATTGAATATGCTTCCCAACTTTTAATTTCTTTCATATTAGCCAAAGTGGTAAACCTAAATAACACTATCTCCCAAGTTTTCCTGAACCAATCCAATTTACTTGGAAGAATATTTGTCTTCCAACAACTAGCCAAGACCATCCTTGCAGTTGCTAACAAGCTAAATTTTCAGTTTTAGTATGCTTCGTTTTCCACAATTTCATAATTGCCATTTCAAAATCAACAGTTCTTAAGCAACTTGTGCTGTGCGTTATTTCAAATCTTCAAGATGTAGCAGTCTTTCTGATTTCACACTTAAATTGTACCTCATTCATAAATACATTTATTTGGAACTAAGCTCCAGTTTTTACATAGTATTAATGGGAGGTGGTTTGTTATTTCTTTGGAAGGTGTAAATATGGGGGGGGAGTTGGAATTGGTTCTCTGATATATCTCAGGAAATGTGAGTGGGTACAAAGGAATCGAACATCCTTTTCATTTATCTTTTCTGAAAAATGCACATGAATACTAGAAAATGAACAGCAGAATCCAAAGAAGTCTTTTGGGAGTGAGCCCCATTGAATTGACCTGAGTGAGATTCCTAGGAGGCCTGTTTAAAATCACACCGTAGGAAACAAAAGTTATCCTAGCTACTGTGGGTTTGGGCAATATGCTTTTTATGACATCATTTGTCTAGTACCTTCAAACGATGGTATTACTTTCAGCTTTGTTTCATAAAATGCTGTTTTTTTCTATTGTATCGTAGTTATCAGTTACATAATTTAAATTATCACAATAAGATGGATATGACCTGAAAAGATTACTGAGATGTTTAACAAAAAAAAATTACATAGCCATGAAATCGTGAAAGTGAGAACTGGAAGCAGTTCAGGAGTTTTTGCAAAACTTTCCCTTCTAGTGGTATAGTGTTTTTTGTTTCTGTGTCCAAATGATTATTGCTTTATGCTTTTCAGGTGAAACGTTCATGGAAATACAACTTCGCCTCTTAAAAGAAAAGGAACTTAAAATTCGAAGGGCCCTTGAGAAGCTCAGACAAAAAAGATCCTTACTTAGAAGACAGCGGTTGAAGCGTGAATTTCCTATTATTTCGGTAATGGGCTACACTAATTGTGGTAGGTTGCAAGACAAAATGATGATATTAAATGAGAAGAATGTGCAAGGTTCTTTTTAAGTGAAAGACCTTCCATATATTATTTTCTGGACTTTAAACCTACATATGTTAATGGAGGTTTCCTAAGAATGTAGGAGGTGCTTTCTTGGTCATTAATAGAGTATCTTGCGCTTCTAAAACTCTGCCGTCTGGGTGAATGGCAGTACCCATTGATGTTAATGAAAATTCCAAGGAAAAATTAAGGACAGTTAAACAGCCTGTCAGATGTTTAACTTTCAAGCCAGGCCCAGATCCAAAGTATGATGTTCTTCTTGTGCTCTGGAGCTTTTCACCATCATGACTCTCACACACACCCTTGCCCCTCGAATCCTTTGGAAAATTACCCCCGAATGTCCATGACACAAGAAGCCTCAGTGAGAGGGAGAAATCATGAATCCTCCCTCCCATCATAACCACGTAGCCCTTTCTAAGTGCACATGGGGTTCTTTGGATGTCAATCGGAGACACTAAGAGTGGAAAATGAAAACATTTGGGCACTTGAAAAGCAAACCCTTGGGACAAATGTCACATATACTGCAAATGGCTTCTTTACTACCAGCTGTTGCACCAAATGCCCCAAATTTTGCTCGCTCGACTCAAAAGAAGTCAAAAAATCCATTAAGTGATTCTCAAATCCGGATGTGAAATTTTGTAACATGAGGGTATGTGCTGCATGCACAAATTCAAATTTCAGCCCTCAGTCAATCACAAACAATGGGTACTGAAGTGCTTTTGAATTCCACGTTGGACAAACACGGCTTAAGCTATGAGGTAAGGATGAAGTGGTTTTTCTAGGTAAGCTTTGAACCCTGCCTCAGAACAGCTCTGCCAGTGGGGAACGCAGAAATATTTGTGTGCTGTTTTGATCCTGTTTTGCCATTTTTTGTAAGTTTTTGCCATTTTAAAAATGCTGTGTGAACTTCTGATTTACTATATATAATAACTAGCTTTTACTTTTTGGCTATCAAACTGTGCCTCTGCCTTCTGGTTATGCTTTCTAGGTGGGGGTGGGTGTTGATCATTTTTTATTATGGTGATCATTATGAAACTACTGGCCAGGCATGTGTGCTATTAATAGCCAAAGAGTTTAAGCATTTAAGTGTCCTGTTTTAAATACTAAAGTGGTAGAAGCTCATGTTGTCTCTTCTTTTGGCCAAATGTCTTCATGGCATGCCGGAAATAGTTGCCATAAAGCACTGTGCACACCACCTGAGGCCACAAATCTGTCAGTCTACTCTTGAACATTTGGGGGTGGTGTCCATGCTTTTGAATCTTGTTCTTGCTTGTCAGGTCGATTGACAGGGAAAACCAAATAAGTAAATGTGGAGACTTGTCAGTTCTGTGAAGTATAGCTCTCCAAATTGAACTGACTTATAGTGTAAGGCTTGCACATCCTTTGCCATTCAGCCTTTGGCTGTTGTGCTGTAAGAGAATTGCGGCCTTTAACTCTGTGTAGTTGCAAACTGGTATCTAAGGAGCAACCAAAGCAGTTAATTAGGGGGTAAAGTAGGGATTTAGCATGGATAACAAGCAGTGGCAGTAGATGTCAACTATCTTGAGCTAAGTACTGACAAAACATCATGGTTCTTACTGTTTGTATTTCACCTGGGACATGTAGTACAGCCCTGAGGCAAGCAGCTGACTGGGAAATTATATTTGCCTAACATCCCAGAGAGGAGGGGCAGAGTGCTAAGCTCTGCTGACTGGCCTGGGAAACATAAAGCAACTCCTTGCAGTTCGGGTTGTAGCTGCCTGAAAGACACAGAAAGTATAATCGCCTCTATAGGCCTATATTTCTGGTGCTTTCTACTTGGAGCAGCAGTAGCATAATCAGCAGGCAGATGGATATATGGCGTACATGCAAACGTGGCTGCTACAAGTCAAAATAATGCAGGCTAAGAAAAAGTTGAGGGCTGCATTTGCTGCAAAGGGCAAAATCAGACAAGATGCAGGGAGATTTCTCTGAGTGTTTTTGTGTATAGCCACTTGGATCAGTAACCTTCATTTCTCCCACCCACCCCTTTTCCTGTCCTGCAAATCCACAGGCTGTTAGCCCCACTGAAAGTGCAGTATGGTTTCCCACCCCCCCCCCCCCCCCGGAGGGGGGAGAGAATAGTCACTCTAAGGGAACTCTTGTGGTCAGGAATGCAGTGCATAGGGGAAGGATTAGACCCTTTTTTTGCCTACATTGTGGCGCCTGCAACTATTGTTTATGAATGTTTTTAAAAAGCTTTCTGGAGATCAATTTGTGGAACTCCCACTCTTATGCTAAGATTACAAATACAGCCCCACGAAGAGCTTTCCCTTTGCTATCAATGCCACTATCTGCTTGGCATTGGTGAGTAGCTGAAGGAAGCGGCACGTGTGGTGCTGGAGTGTTTGTGGGGAGTGGCCTGCTGCACTTGAACACATGAAGCTGCCTTATACTGAATCAGGTCAGTATTGTCTGCTCAGACTGGCAACGGCTCTCCCAAGGTCTCAGGCAGAAGTCTTTCACATCACCTACTGCCAGATCTTTTAACTCTAGAAAGTGCAGACTCCGGGTTTCCTCCCCCCCCCCCCCGGGGGGGGGGAGAGAATAGTCACTCTAAGGGAACTCTTGTGGTCAGGAATGTAGTGCATAGGGGAAGGATTAGACCCTCTTTTTTGCCTACATTGTGGCCCCTTCAACTATTATTTATGAATGTTTTTAAAAAGCTTTCTGTAGATCGATTTGTGGAACTCCCACTCTTATGCTAAGATTACAAATGCAGCCCCACAAACAGCTTTCCCTTTGCTATCGATGCCACTATCTGCTTGGCATTGGTGAGTAGCTGAAGGAAGCGGCACGTGTGGTGCTGGAGTGTTTGTGGGGAGTGGCCTGCTGCACTTGAACACATGAAGCTGCCTTATACTGAATCAGGTCAGTATTGTCTGCTCAGACTGGCAACGGCTCTCCCAAGGTCTCAGGCAGAAGTCTTTCACATCACCTACTGCCAGATCTTTTAACTCTAGGTACTGGGGATTGAACCTGGGATCTTCTGCATGCCAAGCAGATGTTCTACCACTGAGCCACAGCACCTCCCATTCCCCATCACCAAAACTCATGGCAAGGCTCACAGACCCACTGGCCTCAGTTGTTTTCTCAGGTACAAATGTATGCTTTGTCTTAGTAATTGGTGGGGGTAGTGGGGAAGCATCTAGACAGGGAAACAAGTGACCACTCCCTGAAAGCTTGTTTGCAACACTAAAATTATGTGTTCATGGCAGATTTCAAGAAGGTGGAAATGCCAGCTATTAATCTGAGGGTGAGTTTGTGCTGCAAATCTGTGTATATCCTGTTACCTCTTTTAGTGCAGCAGTTCAGTTTATGTGAATCACAAGTGTTCAGTTCATATCTTCTATCGCTTTGACTTCTGCTAGGGAAAACGACTCTGATCAAGGCCCTCACTGGAGATTCAGGATTACAGCCTCAAGATCGCCTGTTTGCCACACTGGACATTACAGCTCATGCTGGCTGTCTGCCATCACGCCTGACTGTTCTTTATGTTGATACCATTGGATTTCTCTCTCAGTTGCCCCATGACCTTATTGAATCATTTTCAGCTACACTAGAAGACGTAGCCTACTCGGTAGGTACATGGATGGATTCTAAACGCCAGCTTGACACACATCTGGGGGGGAGGGACCTGCCCTTCACATTGGTGCAAAATATTGTGATCCCAGTACATATTGCACTTGCTCCAGAGTATTCATAGGTTTCATTTTGACTTGTCCAAAGCCAATGATTGAAGGTTGTATCCTGCCTTCCTACACTAATTTCATCACTGCTCTGTACTGAACATGTCCTCTCTGATAACGTGATTGCAAAGTACGGGCTTTCTTATCTGTTTGTGTGGACAACTTTTGTGTGGAGAGGACTTTAGACACACAGGATTTTTTTTTTGCAACAGAACATTATTGCGATGCCATTTTGAACCATCTCTGAATGGATGGACTCATACTAGTTGTTCTGGTGTCAGTAATACAGCATGGCCAATGGTTCTGAGCAGACTTTCCAGAAAAGGACACTGATAGTCTGAGCTATTTGCCAGTTTTAGCCTTCGTGGAGATTAGAAGTAATCAAGCATGCTCACACACCACCTCCACGCTGCATTTCTGCACAGGTGAATGCCTTGTAAGAGTAGTTGTGTGACTTTAAGAGCAAGATGGAAAATGTTTTCCATTTGTGTGTGAATTTTGGAAGCTGTTAACACATGGACATTTTCAATCGCATTTTCAAGTTATTTTCCTTTCTGTTTAAAGACTTCTCTTTAACTTTGGAATAAGAAAGTGGAGTTTAATTTTCCATTAGAATCTTTAATAATTATGATAGGCAGGAAAACAGTTCCTACTTCCTAGCATGAGAGGGAGTCATACTACAGACAGTATATCTTTTTAAATCTTTAATTAATTTTTAATTTTGGAATTAACATTTTTAATTTTGGAATTACAAGATGCCTTCAGCCTCAAGCTCAGTTTTAACTATCTGTCTTGTCAAGTAGTAAAGCTGAACTTGTTTTATTCTGCTTTCTTGCCTCTGTTTTAAAAAGCAAATGATTCATGCATTCATGTTGTCTGTTTCCTTTGCTAGGACGTAATTGTCCACGTGAGGGATATTAGCCATCCAGAGACCAGCCTCCAGAAGGAAAGTGTTTTGTCCGTTCTCAGGAACCTCAGCCTTCCCAGCCAGCTACTGGAGTCAATTATTGAAGTTCACAACAAAGTGGATTTGGTAGACAGGTAAGAGATAGAGTGGACGTTTCTGAAATATCATTTCATTCCATGTTTTAGCCAGCCCAGTCCACAGATTAAATCAGTTCAACGTCTTCAGAATGAAGTCAATTTGTGCCAGAATTCTTGGCTGTGTTTCTGGTGCAGTGTTGCAGCCCCGCTGTGTTGCACTGGAACAGGAGTCCAGTTTGTGTCCCAGAGTTAAGGCATTCACATTCAAACCACTGAGGCAGAATAAATGTAGAATAACATTTATTTATCCTTTAAAATATTTCTCCCCCAGCCTTTCCCTTGTGGCTGAAGGCAGCTTATAATTCCAAAATTAAAAACATAACTGTACAGTAGAAACTCCATTTACACCCCTCCCCAAGAAAATGTCTTCAGCTTAAACCCATTTCAAAGCCCCTTGCAAATGAGACGGTCCTTATAGACTGTTTTACCTATCAGTGATTTCCTTGAGTTTTAAACATGGTAAAACATGAGCTAGGTCGTGGCCTGAAATTCTCCTTAGCTTGAACACATGAAACTGCCTTATACTGAATCAGACCCTTGGTCCATCAAGTGTCTACTCAGACTGGCAGCAGCTCTCCAGGGTCTCAGGCAGGTCTTTCCCATCATCTATTGCCAGATCATTTAACTGGAGATACCGGGGATTGAACCTGGGACCTTCTCCATACCAAACAGATGCTCTACCACTAAGCCACGGCCCCTCCCCAAACTGGTTTATGAATGAGCTGCTTTTTCTGTAACCCTTAGGAATGGTTCACATTTGCCCTCAGAAGATGAAAAGATAAGAGACAGCTCATAAAGCGTATAGACTAGTACAATCCTTAAAGGGGAGATAGAGGAGCTGCTGTAGTAGAAAGGCATGTTGTAAAAGAGAAGGGATGCCTTAGTATTATTGGTATTCAGTACCAACAAGGTGAACATGCAGAAAGTTGAATTCATATATGAATATTCCCACCCTTCTGGCTGTATCTGGTGCTCATGAATTATCCCCGATAGAAATTTCCTAAAATCATACCATAGACCTATGTCCTAGAATATTCTCCTCCAGTTCAGCATTAAATAATACAATCATCTGCAGGTCACAAATATTATTTTTTCTTTCAGAATGGAAGAAAGGGATGAAATGTTTGCTGTGTAGTGCATTTTGTTTCTGAAAGAAAAAACTTCCAGTAGGAAGTGCAGTTTACCACTACACTCCTGTTTGGTGTAGTGGTTAAGTGCGCGGACTCTAATCTTGGAGAACTGGGTTTGATTCCACACTCCTGCACTTGCAGCTACTAGATGACCTTGGACAAGCCATAGTTCTGATAAGAGGTGTTCTTGAAAAAGAGCAGTTTCTGGCAAGAGCTCTCTCAGCCCCACCTACCTCACAGGGTGTCTGTTGTGGGGAGGGGAAGGGAAAGGAGTTTGTAAGCTGCTCTGAGACTCCGAGTGAAGGGCAGGGTATAAATCCAATCCCTTCTTCTTCTCGTCTCAACTAAGTTGCTCCTTGCACTAAGGTTGCCTTTCTGTCTGTTGTTTTCTCCTAGTTATCATTCTACTGAACCAAATGCCATAGCCATTTCTGCTCTCCTGGGGTATGGATTAGACAACTTGAAAGAGGAAATTGAGAGGACAGTTTTGAAAATAACTGGGAAGAACATTCTGACAATTCAAGTCAATTTAGCTGGACCTCAGCTCAGGTAAACGACAGCTACAACTTAGCCAGGGGAGAGCAGGGGTGGCTGGTATGTAAGAATCACGGTTCTATTTCTCAGGCACAGCGGTGCTTTAGGGGGGAAATAAGAAAAGGGGTTACATAGCTGTTTAAGCCACTCTCGGATAGCAGGATATAACCTGCCCTGGGAACTATTTAATGCCCCTTGTGTTGATGTCAGCATAGAAAGCAAGACTTACACGAAGAACAAGCCTGCAGCTGATAAGTTTCTGGCTGTGTCCATTTACATCCCTGCATCACGATCAGGGTCTATATCATTCTAAATGTCTAAAACTGGCGCAGGGCAGCAGTGTACTGGCTAACCGAGCTGGCCTGGTGCAGCATTATTCCTTTTCTCTGCTAATTATGCTGGTTAGCAGTTTGTTGCTAGGACCAATTTAAAACGTTAGTTTTGACCTTTAAAGCCTTAAAATGGGTCGATAGCCTTTTTGGGTTTGCAAGCATCTTTGGAATTCTGACACAGGGTGGTGGGCAGTGTTCCCTCTAAGCTGAGTTAGTGTGAGCTAGCTCACAGTTTTTTAGCCTCTGGCTCACACTTTTTTGTCTTAGCTCAGGAAGGACGGCTCCAGAGCAAACTAACTTATGCAGCAGCCAGATTGCTCGCTCACAACTTTAATGCCAGTAGCTCACAAAGTAGAATTTTTGCTCACAAGACTCCACAGCTTAGAGGGAACATTGGTGGTGGGTATGTCCACAAGATGTCAGGAAGTGAGGTCATGCATAATATTAACAGTAACTCTCCAACATTTCAGTCAGACACTCTGTATAACAGGATGCTTTTTAAAATGAGCATATTATTTAAAAATATTTTCTTGCATACACATGTCTTATCTTCAGCCGTGCAGTAAAAATCCATGTGTTGTGGTGGCAGCTGCTGTCAAAACAACCTTTTAAAAAGCTGCACAGATAATCAGTTCAGCCAGAAAGGGAACCTAAGCATGCAGCTCACATCGCAAAACTTACCCATCTCAAAACACAACTCCAGCAGCACTGAACTTCTACCAGACACTGACTAGGTTTTATTATTTCAGTTGGCTTTACAAAGAAACAACAGTGCAAGAGATGGATGTGAATCCTGAAGATGGTACAGCCAGTGTGAAGGTGATTATTAGTGACTCTGTGTTGGGTAGATACAAAAGACTGTTTCCCCTGTCACGTTGTTCTTCTGTGAGGAAGAAGAATCCTGAGTAACAAGAAAATTTTTAATGGCGGTAAAATGCTGAGTACTCCACTGGTATACAGACTTTCACTGTATTTGTTTTGAACTGGTCAGCTTGTGCTTGTCATGAAATGCTGACACACTACCTCTGGGGAGAAAACAACCTCTCTATGACAATGTTACAAAACTTTCAACGTTTGCTTGGAGTTGCACAAAAGGAATAAAGATGTTTTGCCCCCAAACTTTGGAGGTTTCAACCCCATCTGTAGTAAAAATATCCAGTCTCTACAGAATGGCCAGTTATTCTAGCAGACAGGCAGGGCTGGTTATTGAGTGTTCCTTCCCTGACTACTTTCCTTCACTTAATATATAAGCAAAAGGAATTTATATAGCAGAAACTAAAAACATGCCCACTGCACAAATGCTGAAGTATCTTGTACAACAGAAAAGTGAAATACTTCCTTCAGAATTTCTTTTATATCTCAAAACCGTGGCAGGCAATACGCTCTTGTTCCTGCAGGCAGTGCTGGGCTCCTTTAGATACAACTGTGTGTGCAAATGCATCAACTGAAACCAAACTCAGAATCTTAGCAGCAATTTCTTTGATCCCCACAGAAAGTTGCACTATGAATCTGTTATAAGAACATAAAATATACTGGGCTTTTTACTTTGTTGATTTCATGTTACAGTTTCTAGAGGCCAAGTAATGTGATAAGAGACTCTGAAAAGAGAAGACAAAACCCTAGGAGACTGGCTTGTTCTTAAGCCTGGATGCAAGGCTGTGTTTAGCTAAGAGAAGCTTCCACTTGAAAGTATAGTTTCCACTAGTTACCTGTACCTCCACTGGATCATAGATTGTACGTTAGAACTGGAAATGTACACCTATAGCAGTTCTCCAGAACCAGAAGTGTTGTTTTCCATCCTGTAGACATATTTTGTACTGTCCTTTTTGTGTACTTTATAAACTGAACCGTTTTCTCTCTATGTGATTGGCAGCTACAAATGTTGGGTTGGTCTGCTCAATAAGCTTTATCAGGTTTCTGCAAGATTATTTTTGAGTAGTAACAGTTATCTGTGCCTCTAAGAATCAGAGTATCCAAGCAGCATTTTATTCTTCACTTTCTGGCAACTGTTGAAATGCCACTACTGCTGCTGTTTTTCAGATCACTAATCCTACAAGCTATCATTTCCTACTGGAAACACTGACTGTTATAGGTATTTTTTTTGTGAAGGAATTATGCAGCAAGACCTTCTGTAAGGTTTGGATATCTAAGTCATCTAACCCTCAGCTCTCTCCGTCGCCTGGAGTGGGATGACACAGACACATTGCACTGGGAGGAAGCAGCCCACAACTTTATTGATTATGGGTTCCTCAGGTTTTTGGTATAGCGCCATCTCCTATCTGCCTGTTGAGGGTAACAGAGGGCTGGTGTTAGGGCTGGAAGCGCTATTCCTAGCCATCCTTCTCCTCCTCCTCCTGGGGATGTGGCTAACCCCAAGGTTGGCTGTCCTGCACCCTACCTCTACCAGATCCCCATAAGGGGACTCCCCCTTCCTCCACAACCTGCACTAAGTTCCCTAGCCAATGCCTCGATACCAGCACAAAGGTACACTTCCTTTGCTATGGGGAAAGGCAAAAACCCCAGTGCCTCAGAGCCAATCAAGGCCTGGGTAAAATTCCTTTTTGACCTCGTTAACCAGTGACCCCCTGCATGCATAGCAAAGCATGACTAACACATTGAACATAAATTCTGAAGGTAGGAGGGTGGGTCTTCACTTCGGGGGAGTTGCAAAATGGCACACCACCCTAAGCCAGCTCATTTCTAACAGAAGTTGTGCACCATCTCAGATAAAATAGAAAGCATTTTAAAAACACAGTTCGGCTTTGCATTCCTTACCTTCCTTGCTAAAGTCAAAAATCATGGGACTCCATGACTGTGTAGCTCTTATTCATTTTAAACAGCACACACATTTAACCATGAGTAAGTAGCCTTGCATATAAAAGCAACACTTTGTTTGCTTTGCAGATCTGTGAATATTTAAAAGAGGAAGCAAATAAATTAGTCTAGACATCCCCTGCCCCCAATGCAGGCTTCAGAAGTAATGAAAACCATGAGGTGGAATCTTCGGAATCTTGCCTGCAGTGAACAGCATTTGTCAAGAGATTAGAAGTTCAGTTACTAATAGCAGCAAATGAGTTAGCATCCCTAAATGAGCTCATTAAAACAGTTCACACGGTAAGTTACCAAAAGAGAGCATGCAACAGGTAAACTATGGGTAGCACTGGTCTGTCAAGGTCAACACGATCTGCTCTGCCTGCTAGCAGCTCTCTTAGTCTCTTTCACATCGTCTGCTTTACTGGAGATGGCAGGGAACTGAGCCTGGAACTTTTTTCCATGCAAAGCATATGCTCTGCTACTGAGCCACAGGTAGACTGTTGCTGTCCAAAATGTAACAATTATTTGTGAGCTTGATTGGTGGGGGAATATCTAGATGGATTTATTTTCATCCCCCTTTAAATATTAGCAAAGCAAACAAAGTCCTGCCTTTTCCTAAGGTTACTAAAATACATTTAATACTGAAACACGCAAAATACTTTTTTTAATGCAAGTCTAATAATGGATAATGTGCGTGCTGTTTAAGAAGAATACTCACGGACTCTGTGATTTTTTACTGCAACAAGGATAAGGAATGTAAAGCTGAACTGTATTTTTAAAATGCTTCACATTTTCTCTGAGATGATGTAATTCAGACACTTCCATATGGATTCATGACTCCTGTTTCAGGCTTTCAGATCTACAGCAATTGTGCTGTTCCATCCCCACTATTTAAGGGCTGCCACAATAAAAATTAGGTCATCAGAAACTGCTTTCTGTGGCCACCCATTTAAGCCAGTAAACATTTGCTATAGATGGTGCCAATTAATAATGATGCTTATACCAGTCACAATGTATCAGATACTTTTTCTGTCCAATATCCCAATGTAAAGCCCTTCCACTACTGTACGAGGAGGTACGGAGGCCAAATCTGCTTGTTCTCCAGAGCTCCCCACATAACCTTGGTTGAGGACTCTGCAAGGTACCACCACTAGAAATGGGGACTTTAAAAGCCCCTATGTGGAAACAGAGCAGCTGCTTCTACCAGTCAATCCAGCATGAAGAAGATCTTTTTAGTAAAACATGCCATCCATAAGGGAGAAGAGACAAAATATATCAATGCACACTTAAAAGAGATAAATTTGGCTCCATACTCTGTAATTCATCTATTTGTTTTACTTTAGGAATGCTACTTAAATTACAAATACGGCAAATAAACATCAAACAGTTACACTGAAAAACTGTTGTTTACATCCATTCTCAAAATGTAGAGCAGTGGTTCTTTAATGCGGATCCAGCAGTGGAGGTGATGCTTCTCAGCTGGCTCTGGTCACTCAGTGCAATGTTCACAAACCCTTCAATTGACTGTCAGTGGAGAAAGGGCTTCTTTAGAATGCCTTTTCTCCGGACAAGAGGATACACAATCAGCTAAACTGTTTTGTTCTGTAGTTACATACATAAGTGCTACCGAGTCACAACCAACTTACGGAAACCCCAGCAAGGGACTTTCAAGGCAATTAAGAAGCAGAGGTGGTTTACCATTGCCTTCCTCTGCTGGACCTCCTGATGGCACTGGTATTTCTGGCCACTGTGTGACACAGAGTGTTGGACTGGATGGGCCTTTGGCCTGATCCAACATTGGCGTCTCTTATGTTCTTATGTTCTTATGGTTCCCCATCCAAGCATCAATCCTCCTCAGCTGACAAGACTGGGCTGTACCATGCTGCCTCCCTTCCTATGTTCTATGGTTAAGAATATCAAAATAGTGTACATCAGCAGGCACCCCAAAATCTGTTTATTGTACCTTCATTTTAAATATTATATTATCTGAGAGACTTAAGAACAATGGTCGAAGTTCAAACCAGTCCATTAATTAGATAACACTTTCAAGCATTGTACAAGGAGGATTAAAAACATTCTCTACTTCATATGTACTTTATAAACCTGTCATTCTCTCTTCACCCCTGCCCCCAAATCATTACTATCTTCCGCTCTTTTACAGTGCTACAGTATTCTTCCTGCAACCCAGATTTACATATACCATTACAATACTGGCCATGCTATTTACTTCATGCTTAATTGACACTTTCTTTGAAATATCCATAGGAACTTTTTCCTACCCATTCACTACCTATGTCATCAGGATTTATTGGCCAGGCATCCTCATTTTTACACTCAGATAAACTGAGTCTGACAAGGTCCTGCCCATTCACCTAAATTGGAGTTCACAGAAGATTTCTTCACAGTTTGGCTTGCATACATTTAATCTGCAAATACAACCATCTCACAGTTCACTTATAACTATTTTTTTTTATTTATTTACATGTGATTTCTATACCGCCCATGACCCCTAATGGGTCTCAGAGCGGTTTACATTAGACTACATCTGTAGTCGAATCCTAACTAGGGCCACAATTTGTGCGGGGAGGGGTTACCTAGCAGCACCCGGACGGCGGCTTTTTCTCTCCTTGGCGGCTCAGGCGCAGTCTCGGTGCTCCGGGCAATCAGCGACCATCGGCGGGCTTCTTGGTGGATCCTCCGTCGGCGCGCTCTGCTCTGGACTGCAGCTTTTTCCGGCTACTCGTCCCTTCGGGCTCCAGCCGCGCCGCGTCGCCCCGCAGTTGCGTCATCCGACTCCGCCTTCATCCGACTCATGGACTGAATAAGTTAAATTGCACTTGTTTCAAAACATCGGGTTGTGGAAACTCACTGCTTGCTCCCCTGTGTTGTGAGAACTGTCCATTTACTCTAGTCCTCTGCTTCCTGCTCATTACCCAGTCCAAAAGAGGATTTCTCTCTTCTCTCATAACTGCCAAGCTTGCCAAGGGACTACTTCAAAGTATATGATGCCTCTACTAGAAAGTTGGTGGGATGTCACTTTGATCAGCTGAGCTTGTTCCTTTGTACTTTTGGCTTTAAGAATGCTGTCTACTGTTTATCGATGATAGTAGTTAGACTCACTCATCTCCTGGCTTGCTTCCTTCTCTCCTACCCTGTTCCTTTCTGAAAATCATATTAAATTGGTTTCATTCGTTCCTTTAGTAGAGGCTGAATTTTGGATAATTTCTTTCTGCCTAGCTTCTGTTGTGGGATCCCAGCATTGAGCACTGCATGTTTCTCAGTCAAAGTTCTCCTTCTGAATTGGTAGCACACACAGCTCCAAAAAGATGGCTGGCCCTGTCAATTCTGGTGGTGTCATCTGTGTTTGGAAAAAGAATGGCTTCCACTTCTCTCTGAAGAGATAATCGGTGTGAGCTACTTAGTTGGTAGGAGCACACGGTCAGATTCTCTGACACAGCAAGCACCAATCACTGCAAACAGGATGTTTGGATTAAAAAAATAGCAAAAGTGATACATGAAAGTGCTTGGTTTCCTGGGAAGCAGTGCAAAAAGAACTGCACTTTTAAGTGTGTCTCCAGACAAATTCATGGAGTTAGGAATTCATCCTTAACTAGAGGTTTTTTAAACTTATCATTTGTTGTTAAAAACAAGATCTTCACAGCATTCCTGTGAGGAAGGTAAACTATGTTCAAAGTCTCACAGTACTCAAGTTTTTCCAGAGCTGAGCAAAGGCAGCATATTTGGGAAGTGCTCCTTTGGAATAAGTTTTTCATTAAGATTGATCACATTCTGCACGAAATTACTTCTTTCTATGAAGTCCCCAGCAATTATATTAATGCAGTCTTTCTCTGCTCCGGGTCGCTGCTTCTTTATCCAGCGATTCAGTAATGGAAGGGCACGGAGGGTCATTTTCTTTATAGAATAATGTAGACGTGACAGAATGTATGGCAAATCTCCAGTAAGGTTGATTCCTGCAACAAATAATCCTCCTGCATGAAAACAAAACAAAAAGTCACCACTGTGTCTGTCATATGCCCTCCTGTGGGCATTACTAACACTTTGGGTCATAACAGATGCAATACTTGGGTAATCAAGGTTTGCGTTTTCTCAGTTTCTTTAGAAGGTACATTTCAGGCATCAGGGCCTCTCAGAAAGAGGGTTTAATCCTCCCACTCTTGCACAGTTCACCCATCAACCTCTCTTCCCCCTCCTACTCTAAGGAGTTCAGGAAGGAAAAAGATGCCCCCTCTCCTCGATAGCCTCAATTCTAACTTGGGTCTACCTGCAGCAATTTAGCTTTTAAAAGATGCTGGGAGATCTATGTTCTCTCAGTTTGACCATATATTCACAAAGGAGTTTTCATGCCTTTATCTTAATTTAAAGATAAAAGAACAAACTATCCTCGTGCCAATACATTGCTGCATTTGCAGCCCGTGCACATTGAAAGCAGTCCAGAGATACTTGTAAGTAATCTCATGACATGGCAGGCTGGAGTCACCAGTAGATTCTCTCCTCGTCTTCTGTATCAAGTGGCAGAGTAGGTGACATAGTTGGACATCCAACATGGATAACCACAACATCTCGCCACTTCAAAAAGCAGGGTAGGGCCATTCTACTTGGCAGTATGCACCTTACCTGCAGGAACAACATTGTCCAAACGCTGCATTGTCTTCTACGTTCAGATCCAGCACTCTACACTACATCACATTGGCTCTCCAATACTGAATAACTGGTACAAACACAGCCCAGTAGAATCAGCTGTTTTCATGTCTTTGTTTTGTTAATTTTTACACTTTTTTAAAGGATAAAGAAATAGCATAAAGTATCTCTACAGATCTAATGGAGGGCCGCTGAATCTCCCCAAATGCATTCTAACAGTGTCCATGCACATATCCAGACTGTCCAAAAATAATTAAACAAAGGGGTTTGGTTATACCATTCACCCACCTCACCAAAGCGTGATCAGAGAAAAACCAAACTTCCTTTAAAGTTATATACTATATGGCTCTGATCAAGCCTTATGGTAATCCTTGTTTGCAAACAAAGCATGTAGATCTTTGACAGTCTAGAACAAGATGAAGTTAAATCAAATCAAATACCTTTTAATGGCATATCAATAAAATACATGGTGTGATAAAATATGAGCAAGAAGGCATTACAGAGACAGCAAAATAAGGCTGTTCATACAGAAAGCTTGTATCTATCTTTAACCGCTTCAGCCAAGAACCTAGTGACCAGAGCTGTGATGTCTGGGTTTGTGTCATTGAATAGATATTGCATTGCAAACAATTAAAACATGTAGATTTTTGACAGTCTAGAACAAGATAAAGTCACAGAGCCTTGGCACATGATTTGCAAAAACAAAAATGCAACGGATACCTGGGCGTCCACCACGTTTCCTCAGCTCCAAATACCAGATAAGTTTTTTTGCTGTAGTCTTATTTCCCCACCAGTATGGAAGTGCCGGCCACAACTCAGAGTGCAATGCCACTTGTAGAATGTCTTCATATGAGACAATAACCTGATAGCCATGGGCCCACATATGCTGTAGGGTTGGAACCACCTGGAAGAGAAGCGTTGCACTGTACTTGTAGGACCACAGCCGATGAAGTTGTCTTACGTTTATGGCAACTGTACAGAAATTCAAATGCTAAGGCATGCCATTTTTATTATACTTCCCTGACTGTATTTTAAAATCTATGTACAGGAAAGGCTACATGGCAAAAGAGGCATGTTGTCTGAATGCTAAGAATCATCCATAAGCTTGTAGGAGTTTTTTTTGTCATGTATGTGGATTTCCTAACTTCACAAAAGGCCTTCAGCCATTTGCTAGACAGTTAAAACACAGCCTTTCTTAAATGAAGTGCTTCAGAATTTCTTTTGTAAAACGTTTGTCTATTTTCAAGCAAAATCAATCACCCATTGTTTCTTATCTCCAACAATATTAGAAGAAAAAAAGGAGGAGGACCCTTGTCAGAACATCTTACTCTGTGTCTCCCATACAGATTTTGTTCAGAGCTTCTCAAAAAATACAACTAACCTTCCTGAAATCCCTGAGTTATTATATACATCGCCCCCTCAAGCTGGCCAGCTCCACTACCCACACCTCAATACCTGAGGTCTTTCCTCCCTCTTTCCCCTCCCCACAACAAAGTCTCTGTACGGTTAGATTACCAATGCTAAACTGAGTGGTCATTCCCCAGTTAAGATCTGAAAGACAGTCAAAAAGAGAAGAGCTCTGCTTTTCTACATAAGCACAGTTCTAATTGCAACAAAATTCATACAGCCTTGGCCTATAGCTGTGATACAACCTACAGAAATGGGAACATGGCAGTCTTGAGTAAATGCTGTTGCTCTCATGAGAACTAGATCATCATTAGTGCCTTAATTTGGCCAGATACTGAATTTCCACATGAACCCTGAAAATATTTCAGATATAGGAGAGGAGAGACTTGGTCTTCACTTTGGAGGTAAGTTTTCATTTAAAAGTAAAGGTTTTGATGGTTAATTTTTTTCAACTGTCTTGCTGAAATAGGTGAATTCCTTACTTTGACGCATGCTGCATCAAAGTGAGGAGGGATTCATTCTAATGGGATGCTGAAGAGTATCCAAACGTGTAAAAAATTACATGAAATAAGAATTTAAAACCAAAGCATGATGCAGATATTTAAACATCCAGGTAACAGAACGTAATTGTTTCCCATGCACTTTGCATCTTAATCATTTCAACTAAACCAAGGCTTAATTTGTGTCTAGACTCAGTCCTGGAATTCTGTTTCAATACCACAGCTGAATCCTGACACCGCTGAAACAGCAAAAGAAAAAGAAAAAGGTGAGCTTCTCCAAGCACAAGAAGAGTGGCTTGCTAACTAGAGCCTGTCTTTACACACTTGGGATCATGGCACAGGGAAGATGGTCTAATATGCAGGGTACGGTTTGGGCATCAAGACTTCAGTGCTCAATGCCTGATTCTGAATCACATTGTAGGTTTTTAATTTTCTGCTTGCAAAAAGGATACTGACATTGAGATTAATCCGTACAGAGTCCCATTCATTTAGAGCAAAGGTCTGGTTTGCATTGTGAGTGGTACTATTTACTTCAGTATAACATCCCAAACCGGCTACTGTGAGTAAGACATTTATATCCTTGAAAGCTCAAAACCAAGGATTCCAAATAACTTACATTTCTAGGACACAGTCTACAACAGAAGATCTTCTTTATACAACACACCAGATGACGATGATGGTCCTCGTCCAATCCATCAAAGTTTCTGAAAGCTAGAATGATGACCTCACAGGGATGGGTTTTCAACCACCGTAAAATATCCCACAGGACATCCTACAACAATCAACACAAAAGAAGTGAGATAAATCGTTCTGTGCTGCAGAGTAGCGGAAATAAACAGCAGCCTATAATCAGGCAGTATCTCAAGTATATGTTTAGATGGGGAAAATTAGGATATGAAATAATATGCTAATTTTAATTGCTAGTGTCATCTATATACTAATAGCCATGTGTGGGTCCCCATATGCAGATACCTAAATCCATGGAATCGGGACCACACTGACACTAAACAGATTTTTCTTCAAACTTGGGAGATTCCTGAGGTTAGCAGAAAAATCTGAAATCGAAACAAAAATATATAGGGAGGGTTAAATCCCCCCAATACATTGCGTTGTCTGCACATGCACGCACAGAAAATGCTCTTACCAGAACAGAATGGAGCCGCTCCAGTCCAGCCCAGCTGTGGATGCCGGCAACCGTTCTGGGCCCAGCCATGGCAGCAGAGGATGCTGGCAGCCACCTGGAGCCCAGCTGTGGTGGTGGAGGACGCGGGGCTCAATAGTAGGTGGTAGGCTTGGAGCGGCACCAGGCTTGGCAATGTGGGATTTCCCCCCACACCATGAATCTCCCAGCCCTCCCACTGAGCCATAAGGAGAGAATTAGGTGTGGGAAAATGGCAGCAATGGGGGGAGTTCTCCTCCCCATGAGTACCGCCTTTCCCCACTTGTCCCTATATAATTTCAACAGGCTACAGAGAAATTAGTAGTATTGCCCAAAACCAAATTCTGAGACTGGCAGTCACATGCCACCACCCAAAATCAGGATTCTCCTCCCCATGAGTACCGCCTTTCCCCACTTGTCCCTATATAATTTCAACAGGCTACAGAGAAATTAGTAGTATTGCCCAAAACCAAATTCTGAGACTGGCAGTCACATGCCACCACCCAAAATCAGCTATCTGAGTTCAAAATTCTCTTTGAACACTCAGGCCCACATTAAACCATCCTCAAATTATATTAACATCAAGTCAGTTCTGGGCATACAGAAAAATAATTCTTCAAGATTGATATCAATTAATAATCAATTCCTCACAATTTAGGAACAAATTACTGTTGCATAGTTCAATACTTATCTCTTCTAACAAATGTGGTGTTATAACGGGGGATCAAGATTTAGCCCAGGTCAAATACAATTTTCTGTAATAGAGAGGCAAAATCCTGCAAATTCCCCACAAATGTAGTATATTGGGTAGAGAACATTGATGTTAAATTTAGTACACTAGATTCCCATGGTATGATCTAAAGTTCATTGGAAGTTCCATTACATACTCGCTGTTCGTTTCCATTATGGCAAATTCCTCTTCTGCATGCGGATTAACTGTCTAGCTCGCAAAAATAAATTTGGAAACCTATGCGTGCACGGATGTCAACATGAATACCAGAGTATTGACCCTTACCACCTCAACCCGTTCCCACTGCATGCTGAGACAAAGGATCAGCAGTATGCTTACTGAAGTACCAACAGAAGGAGTAATAGCCAATTCAAGAGAATACTACCTGCAGTATATTATTCAGGACTCCACTAAATAAATATTCAGGACTCCCCCCCAAAAAAAAAAATTGTTAGCAAAAGGCATCTGTGAATAGAGAGGATCATGGTTTGGATACTCTGAAAAGGAACAGCAAGTTAAGTGCTCAAGTCCTTCATCTGATCCATTAGAATCTCCTCACAGTTATCTCAAAAAACACAAACCCTAATCTAACAATCCCTTGACTAGTGGGAACTGCAACGGGTACACACCTCTTCCCCATTTTGTTTCACTGAAGAATGTAGCTCCATCAGTGCATCACTGACTGTTGCTCCTACAAGATAGTTCCATTCCAAGTTCAGATGAAACTGGCTCAAGAACCATCTTTTTAACTATTAGCATAATGGTTTTTTATTAAAAAGGAAATCCAGATTGTTGGCAGCTCAAAAAAATGCCATGAGCACAGCCATCCGGTCAGTTAATCTCCCTGAAACCTACATATCACAGAGGGCAAGGTTTCCAAACTTGGTGGGGGCCAGCCCATTCATCACTGCAGAAGATTCTCAGCTATGATTTAATTCATGGCAGCAATGAAAGACATCATGAGTATATAGCCTGAAATAATGATTTGGTACAAATTAGCAGTAGAAGGCTTGAAAGGCAGGCAGCAAGTGGCTTTTGGGATAGTGCATTATAGGGCAGTGTCATGATCTGGGCTGTGCAAGAAGAGGCCTAGCAGGCACAGGTAGCCTGAGTAACAGTGGGAGGAGGCCAGGCCTATAACTTCCAGAAGTCCCTGAGAGGTTTTGGTGCCAATTTTAGCCAATCACAGAGAAAGGGGACTTATAATAAAAGACCTGGTACAGAAGAAGAGCTGTTCTTTCTTCCAAGAGAGCAGGGCCAGAGGGAAGGCTGCTGCTGGGAGAGACCCTCCCCCTGAGAAGAAGGCCCAACTGAGACAGTGAACTAGGGACTTTGAGTCTAGTCACGTTAGGGCATTTTGTTTCCCATATTGGGCTGACCTCCTGTAAAAATAAACCTTTTGTCATTTACTCTGCCTGGTCCTCATGCATATTATTCGGCCAAACAAGGGAGGCCTGAGGGCCTTGGGAGGATGCTCTGGGCCTTCTTAAGGGCTCCTAAAACCAGAGTGGTGGCAGCATCAGGTGACACCCCACCTGAGTCGTGACAGCCAGATTTAAGTGGATTTCAACCACCTCATTAAGAGAATGTATTTCCATGACTTGGTCACAATCTAATTCTGAATTGTGAAAAATAAGTTGTTCCATCTAACCTATAATTACCTCATCTTTAAAAAATGAGCAGACAGCAGTAATAGTTACTCCAATAGATGGCTGCTCAGACGGGATTAGATGTAAGCAGATTACAGCCTCTGTATTTAGAATGGAGTAACTCTGCATAGATTGCCCTGTAAGAATGCTAGAATCACATTTTTAACTATTTAGAAGCCATTGTTCCAAGCCCTTTAAAAAGAAGGACACCAATAAAGAGAATCCCAAATATGTTATATGATTCAAATTTTGGACCCTTAGGGCTGGAGATGTTTGAGGGACTATAATTGTTCTTGAGCCTCCTGATGGAATCTTAATAACTTCCAGACAGTAAATTTAATACAAACTGGTTGTCTCTCAGCATTCCTGAGTCAACGTGGACACTGCTGAATTTTTAATTAGCTCAGAACTCATCTGACTGATGGTCACTTGTAAAACGTCTTGAGACCTAATGCTTTGAGCATTAGCACTATGAAGCATGCACCATTCAACTTCACACTGTCATAACTCATGCATACTATGTGGCCCCAGCCTAAAGAAACTCAGCCACAATTGCAGTTTTTAGAGGAAACAAAGTGTAACTTTTCCCCCCTGAATCGGGCTATTGAATGATAACAAAACACTGAAACTGGATACAGGGATTGTGATTTTTTTGCTCCAGCAGGCTACCCTCTCTCCCTACTCAGGCAAATAGTTCTCAAGCAACCAAGAGACAGAAGTTATTTTTTGGCTGAGGGAGATAACATTCAGCAGAAATCCCTCATGCTCCCCACTCCCAATATCAGCTTAAGGAGAGTTCAGAGCCATTTCCTTCAGTAGCGGCCACCACCTCCTGGCTGCTGCCCCAGCTCTAGTTTGGCTGCCAGAAGCAGCAAGCCAAAGGAGACTGCAATTGTAGTGTGAGCCAGCAGTAAGGCCTGTTAGGTAGGAATGCCCTTTCTTAACTAATACAACCTTATTTCTACAGGCATAACTCCTAAGTAATTACAGCTTGCAGGATTAGGGTGGGGGTGGAAAGTGACATCAAGTTGGTGCCGATTAAGGCTACTCCATGGAGTTTCCAAGGCAAGAGATGTTCAGAGGTGTTTTGCCATCGCCTGCCTCTGCATTGCAACTCTGGACTTCCCTGGTGGCCTCCTGTCCAAGTACTAACAAAGGCCAATCCTGCAAAGCTTCTGAGATCTGACAAGATCAGGCTAGACTGGGCCATCCAGGGCAAGGCTGGGGTACAGGATTAGAGTACAGACTTTAAAAAAGGGAAACATGGAAATATAGCTAACCTACTTGAGATTCATACATCCTGAGCATCTGATCCCACCCCCCAAGGGGAGATTTAAATGGGTGGATGCATAAAGAGGAGGCCATCCTTCTCCTGGCCACACTGTCCTCCCACAGTCGCATACACACCTGCATGGGAAAGGCAGCTTCTTTTCAGGTCTCCCTCCCATGTGTCTAAAAAAGCCTTAACACATCTGAGCCTTGGATTCTAGAACACAGAGCCCACCAGAATTTGCTCAGCCAACAGGGAGGTGTCTAACATATCAACATGATTCCACATTTTCACTCATGACTATCCAGCCAGGTAAGGTTTCTCCGAGCCCTGGTGGGGCCTCAGAGCTGGTCAGTCTTCATAAATGCCCTCCCCCATCTGCTCTCATCTATCACAAGGATAACCTCTGACTGTTGATACCTCTCCAGTTGTGAACAATTCATCCAACCCCATTCAGACTATGTTTGCATGGGAAAATTGCCCAAAGGTTGTACTATTAGAGTCTGATGGCACTTTGATGTCGATGAAGTCTTAGGGTACAACCTCTGGGCAGTCTTCCTAGGCAAGCACCACTAAAATGAAGACGTTTCATACAAATGCACAGTAATGTGCTTCAGCCCAGCTGCATTTCACTTGTATAAGAGAACTACTCAGTGGACTGTGTCCCGTATTTCTACACTGGAAAGAACTTTACTTCATCCTTTTACTCAAAGACATCTGACACAGAATAGGGGAAATAATCAATGCGTGTTCCAGGCCCTACTGGTCTTCAGCTAGCACTCAGCTTTAAAAAGCTCCAAAAACCACTTGCAATACCCAACGGACAGAGAAAGCTAGCCTGATGCAGTGGTTAAAGTGGGAGACCTGGGTTCAAGTGACCACCGTCCCATAAGGCTAGCTAAATATCCTTGGACAAGTCACTCTTTCTCCGCTTAACTTACCTGTGAGGATACGATGGAAGAGGATAGGATGGTATGTGCTATCCTGAGTTTCTTGGAGGAATAAACGTGTACTGAATAAAACCTCTGCCAGCTGGACCCTGGAAACTAGGTGTAAGGTGCCACTAGCATGCATATCAAGGATCTGAGCACACCTACGAATTTCTGATCTGCCACCAACTATTTTTATTTCTTTACTTATGTTATTTATAATCCACCTTTCTCACTGAGACTCAAGGCAGATCACATCAGAAATATATTTCTACAACAAGCTATGGCAACTGCAGATGCTTTCCACCACAGAATCTGGTCAGCTGGGCTAGTTCTCACTCGCAAGTTAGCCATGCCTGGTACACAGTAAGAGTTCAGCCAGAGCATTGGCCGCAGAAACTGGATCGCACACGACATTATACAGATGCTAGTTGCACATCAACTACCAGAAATGGTCTTAAATTAAAAAGTCTGTTTTCATTAGAATTAGAAACTGTACCTCTACAACAGCTGTAGTATATAGCATATGAACAAAGTGCAAAGTCGTAGAAGGTTCATCAGGCTTGTGAGCAATCCTAAAGTCAAAGTACCTAATTCCAGCATCCAGTTGCTCCAACACAGTCAGCTCCTGCATAATTTGAAAAAAAAAGTCCAGAATGCATGCTTAATGCTCTTTCTGAATTTTTTAAAGAACAAAGTTTGAGTCCAGTGGCACCTTTAAGACCAACAAAGTTTTATTCAAGGTATAAGCTTTGTTCTGCTGCTTCAGGCCAACATGGCTACCTGTCTGAATCGATCTGCATTTTTTAGAGTTGGGGGTTACTATTTCAATTTGAACAATGACTAAGAAACACTGAGGTCTTGTCTTTTTGTTTGGAATGCACTCTCAGAAGACAAAAAAATAAAGAAAAAAATAATTATAAAGAACTGGCACACAATTAACTGGTTGTAAGAACCTTAAGAAATACATCATAGATTAACAGCCCAATTTTATGAATGCCTGTAAAGTACTCCTGAGGCACAGGTACTGGTACCAGTAGTTACTAAGTAAGCATCTTTTCATACACAAGGGCCTGAGGTTTGGCCCATTCATGAATGGCCTGAAGACCGTGATGTGGAAGTGCCTCCAAGACATGACAGCAATGATGGTGCGACTTGGAAGCTTTGTTATAAAGGCACTGCCCCATCACTGTTGAAGTAAGTTTGACAGCAGGCACATCACAAGCATCAAACATCTTAAGACCTGCTATTTGTGCCTTATTCACCATGTTTATTCCTCTTTCCTCGGTAAATATATGAGGTGGTTTACATAAAAAGATTATATGAGGTGGAATTACTCAAGCTCCATTAAAATTGGAGCGCTCTGCTTTCTGCTACAGAAAATCTGGCACTTTTACTAGGCAGAGAAAAATCATTTATAGTCATGCAGGATCAAAATCCAAAAACAAAAAATCCCAGCACCGAGACTGCCACACACCGTTCCGCTTCGTGCCCCGGTTCTCCAGTTGCTCCTTGCTCCGTACCTCACCCTGCTGACCCCGAGAGCAGCAACGCTCCATGCCTAGCTCCAGCCGCCGCCTCCGTTCCCAAGCTTCACCCAACATGTGGAAGCAATACGATGGCTACATCCCAGGAAAGCATCGCCACCTTCGACCTCTCCCACCCTGCATAGTGGGAGACCTGACTTGAGATCCTGGAGAGCTACTTCAACTGCCATGACATCGTAGACCCAGGTAAGAAGAAGATCCACCTCCTCCGGTCCTGTGGTATAGACACCGTCTTGCTACTCAAGGACCTAATTGCTCCTAAGCAGACCAAGGACAAGACCTATGTGGTGTTGGTGAAAGCGCTGTCCAACCACCTCTCACCTAAACCCACAAAGTTTGCGGAGCACATGGACTTCTTTGCGCGGGTCCGGGGTCCAAACGAGTCTTCTTACGCGTTCTTGGCTGGGCTCCGGCAGGCGGCCACCAGGTGCTCTTTTCCTGACCTGGTGGACACCTTGCTAAACCAGTTTCTCTTGGGTCTCCGGGAACCCAAGCTTCGGAGGAAACTGGTTAGCCAGGACGACCCAGACCTAGATAAGGCGCTCCGAGAGGCCGCAGCCTACAAAAAGGCGCATCAAGACCACCACGTAAAGGAGGCAGTTTCTATGACAAAACGATGGTGGATGCCTTCCCCAGCTCTCTGGGGAGGCGTACTGCACAGCAAAATCCCTCCCCCTCAAAGGAAAAACTTTCTGAGCGATAACGTGCTGAGAGAGGGACGCCTCTCAATGCACTTACATAAACAAGGAGGGGGAAGGAGAGAGAAACGATTGTAAATGGATACTTGAAGCGAAATCCCCCCCCCCTGAAACCCCTTAAGCAATTGGAGGGGGGTGCCTTTTTGACGCGTTTACATAAACGGAAGAGGGGAGGGGGAGAGAGAGAGACAGTTGTAAATGGGTACTTCTGAAAGACTTTATTTGCAAGCGTGTAAACCTGTTGTGGGAGATTTCCATGAGCTTTTAACAGCGTATGCAATTTGCAGAGCCAGGAAGAAAGAGACTTTATTGAAAATAAAACGTTGAGATGGCAGATACCCTAAAAAAGATTGCGAAAACTCCGAGGAGAAGAAGGGAAGTTGACATCACTGCACTAGTAGCAGAAGCCATCAAGCCGATCTTGGAGCAACTTGTTGGTATTAACTAGCAGCTTGCCAAGATAAATCAACAATTTGTGTCTTGGCATCTCCAGGAGGCGATCGGAGAAAAAACTGAATTGAGGGCTCTCAAAGAGAATGAGATGGAGAAGCAGAAGCCCAGTGTAACAACTTAAATCCCCAGGTTTCTTAACAAGACCTCGTTTAGTTCTATCGGCTGTCTGTCTATTGTTGTGCATCCAACCCCTACAACCTGCTTATGTACATCTTCCTACTGTTATTAGAGCATGTGTTATTTGCTTATGTGCTTTTTGTTGTATTAATTTGGAAAAAATAAAAAACTTCATTTTAAAAAAAAGAGAGAATGAGATGGACACTAAATTAAGCAGCGATCTCAATGAGAAAAGAAGAAAAAGTACAAGAGAAACAGGAAAAATTTACAAGGATTTAACTTCTTCCCTGCGAGTGTTCTTAGAAAGTGTCATCTTAAAGTCTGCTGAGGAAAAAGAACTGGAGGTGCCCTTCATAATCAAAAAACCTTTGAGAAGCCACTGGACCCCGAGACCAGAGCGGAAGAGGCTTAAGATTAGTGGTTCTATTCCTTTGGATGGAAGAAGATTGGGCTGCAGTGAACGTCTAAGAAGCTATCAAGAATTTAGAGAGTTTTAGTATAGATGTAAAGGCGGAAGGACTTTGCAAATTGCCTTTATGAAGCGAGCTGGAGGAGACGCTCGGGAAATCTTCTCATAACAAGTGACAATCTAACATATAAGCTTACAAAGGACCTCACAAAGTATATTGTTTATTAACAGCCTTTTTTTTACTAACAGCATTTTAACAGGGAATGATCTCCTAACCTTGGGTTTTTAGCTTAGTTTGGGTTATCTTTTCTTTCTCCCTAAATGTAGTCCCCCTAACCCTATTTTTTCTTGGTAGTTTATGTAGTATTATTTTAAAAAATCCCCTCCGGGGGCTTAAAAAAAAAAGACCACCACGTAAAGGCGGTACATCGCATTCAAGCAGCCCTCGAGTCGGACAACTCCAAAGACAGGGAAGTGCTTCAGGTATGCCGCCGCTCATCCCAACAGCAGCATCGCCTGGTGGAACCTTCCTCGGCGAAGGCCTCCTCTTCATCACCATCCTGCGCCAGTAGCAGTGAGGCGCATGAACGCCGGGTTTGCCAATTCAGAGACGCTGTCTGCCGCACCTGTAACAAGCCGGGCCATCTCGCCAGAGTCTGCCGCTCCTGTGGACAGCCCCAGAAGACTTCAACCCACCAGACCTCGGCAGATCACCACACAAACCTTCATACCCTCTCAGCCCACCACCAGCAGCACCAGGTATGTAACTTGCCCCCCGATAGCCCCAATAAGGTGCACATAACGGTGTTAATAGAGGGGTCCCCCTGCAGCATGGAGATAGACTCTGGGTCGTCCTTCTCCATTATTTCTGAGGAGACGCTGCGCTCGCTCTGCCCACGGGGGGACCCCCTCTGCGTAAGCCACAGGGATTTAAGTTAAGGGACTTTAACAAGAACCCTGTGGCGGTGTGGGGCTGGGGCAAGTTTACGGTGCAATTTAAAAACTTTTGCGGACAATTGGACTTGCTGGGGGGGGGGAGGCTCTCCAGCTTACTGGGACTTCAGGCCTCTGGGGATAACGATCACAGGAATAAACCAGATTCAAGCTGAGGACTTTGCGGATGTGTGTAATGAATTCCCCAGGGTTTTTGACAGCACGCTCGGCTGCTCCACCGTGGCCCCCATATCCCTCGATCTCGACCCAGCCGTCCGCCCCATCAGGGTCAAGGCCAGACACCCCCCCTATTGCTATGAGGCCAAAGATCAAGGCAGAGATTGATTGCTTGGTGGACCAGGGGGTGTTAGAGCCCGTCGCTTCAGCACAGTGGGAGACGCCGATAGTCACCCCGGTAAAGCCTAACAGCAACATGTGAGTTTGTACCGACTATAAGTGCATATTGAATAAAGCCCTCCAGGACCACGCTTATCCTGTACCGGTGGTCAGCCATGTGTTAGCCGCACTGGTGGGGGCTCGGATCTTCGGCAAACTGGACTTGACCCAGGCCTACCAGCAACTGCCGGTGGATGCTGCCACTGCTGAAGCCCAAACGATAGTGACACACAAGGGGGCTTTCAAGGTACATCGTCTGCAGTTTGGGGTGTCGTTCACGCCAGGCATTTTTCAATCTTTTATGGATTCTCTCCTGAAAAGAATTCCGGGAGATCAGCCATTTTTAGATGACATGCTCATTACGGCTTCGGATGCCTCGGCCTTCGCGGAACAACTACGAGCAGTGCTACACAGGTTTGACTCTGCCGGCTTAAAGGTCAAACGTGAAAAATGTCTTCAGGAAGTGCCCAGGGTGGAGTTCCTGGGGTTTGCGGTGGACAGCGCGGGAATTCACCCCACTGAGGACAAGACACAGGCGATCACTCAAGCTCCTCCGCCTACATCCAAGTCCGAACTACAGGCCTTCCTCAGCCTATTAAATTTTTATCATTCGTTTCTCCCCCTGAAGCCCGCAGTGGCGGAACCCCTGCACCTCCTACTGGACAAGAACGCAAAATACATGCAAGACCTTAAAAATGTAATTAAAACATTGGTCAGATGAGTCAAGTAGTTTTAACACCATTTTCTAGGGTGCTTTTAGTTTGAAGACTGTTATTTTAAGCTGCTCAATGATCTCTGCTTTTATGATTTGGCTGGGTTTCTTAATTCTGCATTTTAACTAATATTTTTAACTGCTTTATGTTTTTATTATGCTTTATTCGGTTACAGAATTAACCTTCTTTAGACTCCCAAATCATGTGAAAGTTACACCAGTAAGAATTAACAACTGAAACTCTATTGAGAACAATATTCTCTATTGAGAAGCCAGAAGAAGCCGTGCCGACGAGCCAATCCAGAACGTCCCTCCACTGGGTGCTGCTAGGACAGTCCCCACCCCAGCATATATATGTGGCCTTAGGTAAAGGTAATGATTAACTGTAGAGCCGCTCAGAGACCCCCGGTGGGGGGTTTGAGCAGGGTAGCAAGTCGAAAGTTAAATAAATACACACTGTAGTCAATTACAACATCAGCAATGGTGGTGGACATATTCTTTTCCAGGGCTTGTAGGGAGTTATGGAACTCTTGCCGGGATACTGTAAGGCCTTCCGGCTGTTGGTTTGTGCCGCCCAACGCCATTTTAGAAGGGTTACCGGGAGTGCTTCTAGGAGGCCCAGGTCTCTCTGTTTTCGGAAAGTAAGAGGGGACCCCTTTACTCACAGTTGTAGCGTTTCTTGTTTTCGGTCCAGAATTTCTTCCCATATCTTGGGGTACCACTGAAAGTTGTGCAGGCTTGGTGAATGTCGGCTTAGATGCGTTTTGGGGGAAGGGTCTGGGGAGCTTAACGTTCAAGCGTCCATTGCATTCCGCTCTGACGCCACCCCCCCTTATCTCCTTCTCAGCCAACTATCAACCTACCTTTATCTGCCCCTCTGACTTCAGCTTTCCAAGTCCTCCCCCCTCCCTGCACCCTCTACCTAGGAAAAGTACAGTCTTTCTCCGCAGTGAGGATCAAAGCAGCTTACATCATTCTCCTTTCCCCTTTAGATCTGCACAACAACCCTGTGAGGTAGGTTAGGCTAAAACTCTGACTGGTCTGAAATCACCCACTCAGCTTCCACAGCAAGAACCTGGGTCTTGCAGACTCTGCTCTGAAGCGCTGCTATGCCACACTGGCTGTCCAGGAGGCAGGGGGCTGCTGGTGGTGAATAGGAGCAAGCAGCCAGGCCTCATAAAGTAATGTCAGTCAGGTGTCATCAAGTCTGCCAGGCCTAGGGTAGCCAACCTCCAAGTGGAGCCTGAAGATCGCCTAGTATCACAACTGATCTCCAGACAACAGATCTCTCTCCCCCTGGAGAAAATAACTGCTCTGGAGGGTGGTCTCTATGGCATTCTATTCAGCTGAGGCCTCTCCCCTCCCCAAACTGTAGACTCCACCACAAAATCTCCAGGAATTTCCCAAACTCGAGTTGGCAACCCAAGTCAGGACTTGCCCCAATGAGTTCCCCACAAAGGCCAAAGTAGGCCTGGAAAGGGCCTCCTGCCCCTGCCTTTTTACTGACAGAACCAAGCTTGGTTGCCTAGCAACAGCCACTGAGGGGAAAGTGAGCCCCACAGCAGGAGGAGAAGAGAATGGTTTGATGGCTTGGTGGCTCACTTAAGTAGCCAGCCAGCCAGCCATGGAGGAGCCAAGCCGGAGAATCACCTTCGTTGTGAGAGACAGCTGTTTTGGCAGTTTATTCTGACAGGAAAGGGTGGCCAAGCTGACTGGGGGGGGGATCGGACCCAGCACCCAGCCAATGGCATGTGAGTACTCTTGAGTGGCAGTTGATGGGCTAATGAAGTACACAGCACAGCCAATGGGAGAGTTGGAAAGTGCCAATACGCTTGGGCATATATGTATATGTGTGTGTGTGTGTGTGTATGTATAGGATTAGGTCCCACCCCACCACAAACCCTGACCTCCCCAGGCGTTTTCCAACCTGGAGTTGGCAACCCTGACTACAATATACTATGCTTCACACATGACAAGCTACTTACATACATGGCAGAAGGAGAAGGCAACAAGCTGCCTTGTTGAAAACAAAGGTTTAGTGCTCTGTTTTATGCACTGGTTCTTTTTCTCATTTTACAGCAACGACTAGAGAGTGACCACATTAGCTACCATTAAAAACAAGCTTCACAATATGACAGGTCTAGTAAATTAAACAATTCAGAATAAGACATTAAAAATGGAAGATTTGTTTACCTGTGTTATGCACCACCTCAAAACAATAGGATGTATTATCCAGTGCATATGTTTGTCCATAAGTTCCAGCAGCTTGGATTCATTTACGCTTACTGTTGAAGTTTCATCAAGGCTGTATGTCATAGTATCATGGCTCCCTAACAATATAAAACTTAAAATTAAACTAATTCAAACTTTTTGTCCACCCTTCAAATGCTCCTAGCCTAAACACACAAATTGCATAAACATTTCCCAAATATTCAGACATTATCCAGGTACCAGTTCAGTTCAAAGGGAGATCTTCTTATACCAGAATCACGATTTGTCAGCTTCTGTCTCAAGATGTAGAGCAGGAAGGCTTTGAATCAGAAGAATGAAGTCCTTGAGGTCTACAACATGACTAAGACTGTCAACAAATTCCTCACTTCTGTGCCTCCTAGTCATGTAAACTATCCCATGTTCACAATCGTCCTTTCATTCCTCACTCTGGCTCTCTCCTCTGCCGATCATCCTTTTGGCCTCTCACTCTCTCATCAGGCTTAATCTAGACATTACAAAATCCTCATGTTTGTTGGGGGAGAACTCAAGGATTTTGTGTCCTCAAACAGACCCACAGAGACACTCTTACATGTAGTCACACAAGTAATATGATTTTTACAAAACAGCCAATAACAGTTTCTCCCTGTATGCCAAGTTCAAAGCCAGAAAAGAGGTAGCATGCATCTGGGAGGCACAAAACTCCCATTACACATGTGATATAAAGTCCTCAGGTTCTTCCCCAACAAACACAAGGACCTTGTAATGTGTACACTCTCCGAGAAGGGGGGGGGTGCCATCAAGTTGTTTCTGACTCATGGCAACTCTATGAATGAATGGCCTCCAAATCGTCCTATCATTAACAGTCTCCCTCAGGTCTTGCAAACTGAGGCTTCCTTGACTGAGGCCTATTATGCATGGGTGTTTTCCCTCGCTTTCACCATGCATGTCCGTTGGGTTTTCTTGGTTGTTCTGCATTGGTTTTCCTCCAGCACTCAGTTGACTTTTTGGTTGCCATTTCTCCAGGTTTTCTAAGAGTGCTTTTGTGCCAATTTTTCCCTTGTTTTGTTTCCCTCGGATTTCTCCCTGCCCTTTTGCCGCCCTTCGAAGGTCACTCCCCCACCCACATCAAGGTCATTTCACCCACTCTGCACCTTTCACCATCCTTCCCTCTTCATCGATGTACAAGCTCCATTTATCCCTCATTTTCAAATTTTTAATTTAAAACAATGGAGGGAATGTTTAAAGGGAGCTGTGCAAGGTTTAGTTCTCTCCTGGTATTGACTTGAAAGGTGGATTGGAGGGGAGGCAAATGGCAACATCTCCAGTGTAAAAAAAAAAAAAGGATTTCAGTGCTGCATTCAAACAAAATAAAGGGGGGATCATTAGCGTGGAACGAAACTGACACAAGATGTAAAGAGAGATGCTAGGGTGGGAAGCCTAAAGCTCTGAAAGCATTTCCCCCTTTAATGCTTTAGTGAACAAAGATTGGGAGAGAACCATTTTGGCAGTCTCTGGAAGCCTAACATTAAAATAGCAGCTGAGCCACATAGACCTTCTGCAAACTGCCAAACTGAAGAATCACTTAGGATTGATCCATTTAGAAGACAGAGTGCCATCCACACAGGACAGGCTTTAAAAAACTGCAAAGATCATGACCAGTGTGCAGGAATTTAATCAAATTAGAGAATCACAAAGAGAAAACACACAAATTAGCAAGGAAGGGCAGGAAATTAGCATTACTATGCAGCTGTGCTAGGACATCAGAGAAAATAGTCCTTTTTTTTTTCAATTTAGTGGTACAAAACTAAAAAAGCTCTCCAGAGCTTCTGCCAGAGGATTCCTCCCACATACAAATTGCAGCCTTGTGCAAAGTGTGGTGGAGTCGCAGCCAACTTTGCACAGGTGCGCACACACGCACACGTTGCCAACAATCACAGCTTCTGGCACAGTCTCTTCAAACCCATGTTTGCCACCTTGTTTATGAAAATTTGGTGGTACAGTATGTCAAAACTTGAACCACCAACAATGAACAGCTTAGTGGCACTGTCATAAATCCAAGAATCTGGCAGAAAAACTGGCCCAACTGGTGGACCTCCTGATGGCACCTGATATTTTTGGCCACTGTGTGACAGAGTGTTAGACTGGATGAGCCACTGGCCTGATCCAACATTGGCTTCTTTTATGTTCTTAAATATCCTTTTCTGTTGGTTACTTCATTGCCGCAGTGAGTGCCCCAGTCTCAAAGAGAGGTATCTGTGGTTAAAATTAGAGATAGGGATGACAGACAGGAGCCATCACACTCTCCCAGGGTTGGAATGCTTGTCAGAGGGTGATTGAGGTGAAGAGCAGTGTGAGAAGGCATTTTGGTGGTCTCTAGTGCATCTTCCCATTTGACTGCTTTGAGACAGGATTCCTTAATGGGCCTTACTTTCTTGATACATGTTTAGCGAACTGCACACAGCATTAACATTATGGCCTTTGCCTACACATTAAAGAGTGACAGTGTTTGTCAGATTTGATAATTTCCACCCTTTGACTTGAGAAGCTTGGTTATGAAAATGAGAGGGCAAGGAATATTTCAGTTATATGACATTCCTAGTTCTAGAAGTTTCTGTAATCTGGCCTGCTCGTATGTATTTCCCAATTATATCACTGTCCAAAAGCCAATAAGAAAATTATTCCTAAGCAGTAAGTGCAAAATAATGTTTAAACAATATTAGACTGCTTTAAAGGAAGTACTATATACCTGGAAGTGATAGGTTGGAAAGAGGAATGGTCCAGAGACATTCTGGCAAGCGAGACATCCAGTAAGCAAGTTCATGGCACAGAGGAATGGGCTTTTTTGGACGATTCTTCGTTTTCTTCCTGCGCCGCATGTTCTAGAAAATAAGCTAAATGAAGAGTACCAGTAAACTCAGACTTGCTAGCAAATGTCAGACTCACCATGTGAATAATAAAGAGCTCCCATGAAATCCAATTAAAAGCATTTTATTTGTCTTGCATGCATGCAGGATTTGAACTGCTCTGTCTTCTTGGTGCTTGGGGGGGGGTCAGCAGTGGGAGGGCTTCTAATGTCCTGGCCCCAGTGGTGGACCTCCTGATGGCACTGGTATTTTTGGCCACTGTGTGACAGAGAGTGTTGGACGACGGGATGGGCCTTTGGCCTGATCCAACATTGGCGTCTCTTATGTTCTTATGAACCCCAGGTCCACGTTGTGCAGGACAGCCAAGAGTGGATCTCCCAACATTTTCTGAGAGAGGAAGAGTTTAACCCTGTCCCAGTCGCTATTCCCTTAACAGCATTTCTGAGAGATGATTTCTATCAGGGAAATGGAGGGGTGGGGGAGTCTTCAGCCAGCAACCACGGGGGAGGGGGCATGGCACAAGGCTCCAGCTTTCCATGCCGAAGATCCCTGGCTCAATCCCCAGTGTCTCCATTAAAAGGGTTAGATAACAGGTGATGTGAAAGATCTGCACCTGAGACCCGATGGAGCCCCTGCTAGTCAAAATAGACAATACTGACTTTGACAGACCAAGAGTCTGGCTCAGGGTAAAGCAGCTTTATTTATGTTCACTCCCCCTCCCCCGGACTGCTTCTTAGCTAAAGACAGCACAGGAGATTCAATCACAGATCTCCCAAGTAATGTGTACCCCAATCCAACAGGAGGCTGTGCTGTTAGGTTCCTGCTCTGTGCAGGAAAAAAGGGACCAGCTGGAGCATTTGTGCCTACCCCAATACCAGAATTCATGTATGACACCATGCTTAAGCCCCAAAGACACATGGCATCATTAAGGGCTGTTACAGGGGCTGGAATGGTATGCATCACCGTGCCATTGCTTCCGTTTAGAAGTCATTTTAAGAATTTGTTCGGCAAACAGGGAAAGGCTAGGTAGTGAGCGACAGGCAGCCTTTACAGTCTTCGCCCCAGTCATTGTTCACATCACTGCTTCTAAAGACAATTTATAGGACTAGGTTAGCCATCTAATTATATACAGACTTCTCTTTTAAATAGATAAGTTAGAGAATCAGTTGTTGTTGCTTGGTGTAGTGTAGTGGTTAAGTGCACGGACTCTAATCTGGGAGAACCGGGTTTGATTCCCCACTCCTCCACTTGCACCTGGCTGGATGACCGTGGGCAAACTGTAGTTCTGATAAGAGCTGTCCTTGAAAAAGAGCAGTTTCTGTCAAGAGCTCTCTCAGCCCCACCTACCTCACAGGGTGTCTGTTGTGGGGAGGGGGAGGGGAAGGAGCTTGTAAGCCTCTCTGAGACTCCTTTGGGTAGTGAAGGGCGGGGTATAAATCTAATCTCTTCTTCTTGTTTTTCCAAATGAGAATTGTCTTTTGTGGTAGCCTTGGAAATCGGGTGGCATGGTTTGTCTGAAAGGACACAATACGATGGAGCCTGTTGGCCCACCAGACAGTCAATAACCGTGAAAATCAGTGTCCTACAAATGGTGGCTGTGCTGTCTGTAACTTATACAATGCATTCAGACAACCTAGTTTTGTTTGATTCCCACTGCTTGGCCAAGGCAAAACACAAGAAAAGCCACCACGGCAGCTCCAACTGGACAGACATGCAGGATGTAAATGTTCTAAAGAAAGAAAGGAAACCAAATGTTTGAATATATATTTTTATTTTTTAAAAAAAATAATGAGGACAGATTAATCAAATTAGTATTTTTCTTGTCCTGAGCAAGTGTACATCACTTGTTTGGAATCAGTGTTAGATCCCAACTAAAGTGTCTGTCTGAAGAGCAGCAATCTTCACCATCTCCCCCTCCTGTGGTTGACTCCCTCCAAGTAATTTCTATGGGTCCTCCTTCCCCCAGGAGCACCATTTCAGGGCTGCAGTTGGAACTGCAGTTAGAGCAGGCCCATAGCCAGAATTTTTCTTTTTAATTTGGGGGGGGACCTTGAATAAGTCGGGAGGCACTAAAATAAAAATTTAAAAAACTCACGTACACTGGCTGGACCCTGCCCCAGCTGGTCTTCCCAGGTTCAATCTCGAGCATCCTCTCTTAAAAGGATCATGTCCTGGGGGGAGTGGAAAGGCCTACCCCAGAAAGCCCCCAAAGGGGCTGGTTCAGCATCAGGCAATCTGAGTAGCCAGGTGGGCCCTCAGGCACCGAAGCAGCGGCGGGAGGCACTTGTGAGCCATGAGCAGCAGGCAAGTCAGAAGGGTGTGCAGAAGCAGGACGAGGACTGATTCACCACTCCTCCACATGCAGCTGCTGGGGTGACCTTGAGTCAGTCACAGTTCTCTCAGAGCTATTCTCGAAGAGCTCTCTCAGCCCCACCTACCTCACAGGGTGTCTCTTGCAGGGAGGGGAAGGGAAAGGAATTATAATCCGCTCGGGGACTCCATGTGAAGGGCGGGGTATAAATACAATCTCTTCTCCTTCTCTCTTTTTTCAAGACACCTTTTAATTAAATTAAGACAGACAGATCCAAAGGCAACTATAAAGAGCATTTTGGAATCTGCAAATGATGCTCTAATTCAGGGGTGTCAAACATAAGTCCCGAGGGCCAGAACTGGCCTGTCCAGGGCCCACAAGCAACTGGTGCAAGAGAGGGAACAGAAGACTGCTCGAGGAGGGGGAGCAGGTGGAGCCACTCCAATTGTGGCTTCAGCATGGCGGAACAACCTCATTTGCAGCAGTCAAGCAGCATGGGGGCATCTGGCCAATGCTGAGTCACTGGCTCTCCAGTCCACCCATGTGGGTTTTCCTCTACACCCCCTCCCAACCCATGGACCTTGCAGTGAGGATGCACCAACTCGGAGCTACAAGCTACTGTCCTTTATACGGCTTATATCACCGGTACCTGGCATTATGTCTTATGGCACACATGGCCCGGTCCAACAAAGTCACATTTATGTCAGATCCAGCCCTCGTAACAAACGAGTTTGACACCTGGGCTCTAATCAAATCAAGGAAGGGGAAAAACAGTGCTCCAAAACCAAAATATATTTTAAGAATAGTTCAGATCAGATCTTCTCAGAAACCAATATAAATAAACATGGTTCAGGCATGTAACTTAATAGACAATCCCTATATAAGGATAGCAAAAGCAGTCCATGCATATATTATTCTTTTGTGCACAGCACAAAGTAAGACTCCACATAAGCCAAACTCCTCCTGACTCCATATCAGGCCTGAACACAGGAAAGCTTGACAGCTGCAACTGTATCAGATGCCACTTTATTGACCTACTTCCATAAATCCCCTCATCCATGCCGATCCTATTGTTTCCTAAATAGGTCAGTGTCTTCCCTATTTTTCCCTACACTAGTCATCAGTGCAATAGTGTTGGGGTCAGAGAGTCACAGCTCAGGGGGTCAACAAAGATGAAGTGTGCACAGAAAGTTATTTATTTAATTCATTTATACCCCGCCTTTCTTCACAATGGGGACTCAAAGCAGCTTTCTTAATTCTCCTCTCCAACAAACCTGTGAGGTAGGTTGGGCTGAGAGAGTGTGACTGGCCCAAGGTCACCCAGCAACTTTCCATGGCACAAATAGGGATTCAAACCTGGGTCTTCCTGATACTAGTCTGACACTGTTGACCACTATGCCACACTGGCTCTCTTCTGTGGACATATGGTTCTTCTAGATCCCAAGAAGATGTGTTTGGGGGAGGATCCCCCTGTATCCAGAACTTACTGGGTGCATGCACATACTGGTACAATCCACTTTGACTATACTGATTCAGGGGTGAGGATGTGGGATCCAGGTGCTCTCTACCCTTATGCCAGCAGGCGATCATCTGTTCAGTCGTGCATGCACATCGGTTTATTGGGGAAAGTCCTCCTGTGCCCTAGCAGGCTGACTGCTGCAAAGAAGAACTTCTAGATCAGGGTTATTACATGGACCACTGGGCACGGAACAGCAGTCACTGTGGGTGTAGAGGGGGAGGTATTTGTGAACTTCCTGCATTGTGCAAGGGGTTGGACTAGATGACCCTGGAGGTCCCTTCCAACTCTATGATTCTATGAAATGCCACTGCTGGACCACTCAAAGAGGAACTCTTTTCCACCTAAGGATGCTTGGGATTCCTGTCAATTCCTGTGAGAAATCTCTCTACTTGTCAAAGCGGGAGGCCAGAATGTAGCTATCTATCTGTAAGGCGTGCAAAACTAAACTAAGAAGGGAATGAAACTCCCATACAAAGTCCTCAAGTTCTTCCCCAACAAACCTGAGGACATTATAATGTGTACACCAGCCCGAAATACAGCCAGGTAAATAGGATCAATTAATTTTGATCCTAAAACTCACTTTAAAAGTTTCAAACTGTAATCTTTATTTCTGTTTACTTAACATGGTTTCCCTTCTATTTGTTTCGTATCTTATCAGACCTCTCCGGAGAGGTGATCTATACATTTTGGAAATAAAAGCTTGCACATTAAGTGTCTCGCTGTGGTCTTAAGAGGATAGGGCATCCTATACGGCACAAGCACTTGCTTGCTAGCTAACAGATACCTGCCAAGGAAGCTGCAAGCAGTTCTGGTACTCTGAGGACCTGCAGGAAACACACCTCATCTCATTCATACTTTACATCTTAATGTATTACAGACGCCTTGTGAGTACACATGAAAGTGTAACTTACAAGTTGTTCCCATGTTTCTGTTTCCAAATGCCTTAACAATGCTGCTGTTCTCAGTAAAACAAAAAAGGATCTCCATAATTTCACAATCTCAGAAACTCTGCTAGATTTCCTCTATTGACCATCCCAGCCTTCTTCATCAGAAAAGTTATTTAGGGCAGAAAGTTTCAGAAAGTTTTTAAAGAAAGAAAAGCTTTTTCATACATACAGGGCTCCAAAAACATTATACTGACAAAAATAAGTGTAAGCCCCAAATCTCTACCAAACTGCATTTACCCCAAAAGGCTACCCTGACTGTAAGAAGAGCCCCCTTTTAAAACCTTGTACAGAAAAAAAGTTTATATTATTATTACTATACATAACTAACTTGTTCACGAATTCAAGACGCTCCCCTCTTTTTCTTGCTGAAACACGTGGAAAAACAACCCTCTCTCTTCCTTTCAAATAAATAGGATATGTTACCGGCTCTACCTTATCATTATTTTAATATACCCCAGTTAAATATCTGTGGCATACAAAAGTGTGTCGTGACACACATTCAGCTAGGAAAACAAAATCGGCCACAGAGACAAATCAAATAATATTTTCTTACTCTGTTCTAAAAAGGCAGAAAACTGCAGCAATTACCTGTTCAGGAGAAATAAAGGGGGAAAACAGCAAAAGCAGTACATGCCAGGAACCAAAATCAGTCACTGCTCATTTTCAAAGCAAGCCACGCGATTTCCCAAAACTCGGATTTTGCGGCCCACAAACCTTGTATTTACTCCGAAAGAAATGTGTTTTGTTGTGGCGTCTGCTCACGCTTAGAATGGGCATCTAAGCAGCGTTTAGCCTTCGTCCATTAGCAGACAGAGACAGGATTCCGCATTCCCCAAACGCACATCACCTCCTACTCTGGTCCGTACAGTAAAGAACGACGGCAACAGGAAACAAAAACAAACACATGCGACGTGTGATTTGCATACAGCTTCCGGATTGGTCGCTTTCCCTGCAACCCCACCTCCTGAGTCAAGAGACAGACAAATATGGCGCGAAGGAGGAAGAAATTGTGGGCGGTGTGGGTGTGATTGCCCAGAGAGTGGGCGAATTCGTTGTGGTGTCACTATTAAGGTGATAGAATGGTGTTAGACTAGGGAAGCTAGCAGCAATGGAGGCTGCAAAGTTGTGCTCACTTTCTTATGAATAGGCTTCATTGAATTCAACAATTCTGAGTGAGTTCATGTGCATTGGTTGGAGCTGCATAGCTACATTTCTTTGCGCACTTACTTCAGAACACTTACTTCTGAGTCAAAAAGTAATGTCATAATATCTCTCTAAGAAACACGGAACTCTGAAACACCAAGTTATTACATACTCACAAGATTGATGTTTGGTTACTCTGATTTCTATTGCACATAGTTTGCAGATGTTGAATCTTTGTACATGTTTTACACCTTTACATGATAACTTAGTATACTGTTTATGTTCGATGTTATGTATTTAATGTCAAATTATAAGGTTAGGTGATTATACTTTGTGAAAAATTCAATAAACTATTAATAAAAAAATAATGTCATAAAGATATTACTCCTCTGGATTGCCTTACCCCTTAGGGTCTTTATGTTCGATGTTATGTATTTAATGTCAAATTATAAGGTTAGGTGATTATACTTTGTGAAAAATTCAATAAACTATTAATAAAAAAAATAATGTCATAAAGGTATTACTCCTCTGGATTGCCTTACCCCTTAGGGTCACCTGGCACCTACGTTATTGACTTTTAAGTGCCAAGCCAAAACATTTCTTTTTACCCAGACTTTTAGAGGTTTCATCTTTTAAAGCTGTTTTGATGCTATGTGTCAGGCCATAGGATTGTCTGATGAATATCACTGTAAACCGCTGAATGTTGTTTTACACTGTTATGCCCCTGGGTTGTTTTTTGGTATGACTGTGATTTTATTGTACAGTTCTATTTTGGGAGGCACTTCCAGATGGCCTCAAGAGCGGTGTTATATACACAGTGTAAGTTAATACTGCAAAATCCAGAACACTTCCTCAGGCTGGGTGTCCAGTACAAAAATGTGTAGGTGTAGGAGGTGTTTTAGGACATTGTGGGAAAGTCCCAGGTCTGTAACTTATCATCTTAAAATGGAATGCAGGATGTGACTTAATTGGACTGGACAGTGGCCAAGTCCATAACCAGTTTTCAGGTTGCATCAAAGATAGCTGGAACAAAGGGGAGTGGTAGATTGACATTCCCATTTTGTAGGCAGAAAAGCTACTAGTTAATAAAACATCCCTCCTGCCATAGTGGGATACAGGTCCCTACAAGGCAGAATGGAAAATTAAAATGTGATAGACTGGAGATGGATTGAAAGTAAAGAGCCAGTATGGGTAATATTATCTGATGGGTGTAGAAAAAGGAGCATGCCCCCCCCCAAGCAAAGTCCAATTTGAAAATCATGTTTTACAACATCCCTCTTTAGACAGCTACATTCAAAATTATTTAAAATAGACTGAGGTTATCGGTAGTTGTGTTGGTTTCAGAAAACTCCCCTAAGGTCACGTATAGGAATCCACAAAGTCATGAATGAGGACCAACCAAAATATTATAAAACAGCAAGCAATCATCTGAGTTCTTCAAAAAATCTTCGTCAAACTGGATGTTCAATATAAGAAAGTGGGGGAGATGTTTCAGGGCACAGTGGAAAAGCCAAAGTCGGTAGCTAGTAGAGTAGATGTATTGCACACAGTACTAAATGCAAAACTGGTTTTCAACTTGGGCCAAAGTCTACTGTGACAAAGAAGAGGAAAGAACTGGCAAACACAGTAAGGTAAACATCATACAGTGTATAATGAACATCCAGTAACTAGCCCACCGAGCCTATGCGCACTCACTGAGAAATAAATCCAATGGTTTAGGAAGAAAGAAAATCCCTTCTGGGACAAATCAGAATTTCATCTAATTCAGCATTTTGTTTCCAACAACAGCAGAGCAGATGCCTTAAGTAGGGTATAAGGGTGATGGCATTCCCTGTTGTTTGTCTCTGGTATCTTTTGGCATTCAGAGCTTGTAATTCTGGAGGTTCCATAACTATCATGGGTCACAGGTATTGACAAGAACATGCAGAGGGTGTTTCATTTTCCCCTCCCCCACTATTTCCTCTTACCCAGGGGTCATTTCGTAGAAAAAGACCTGCAGGAGCTCATTAGCATAACTTATTAGCATATGCCACACACCCTGACATCACCGGAAGTGTGCACCAGCCCCTCCCACAGGCAGAAGCACCTGGGATCCACTTTCCCCCCTCTCCCTTCCCTTCGCCTCCAAGTCGGGTGAAGGGGAGGGGGAGGACCTCAGGTGCTTCTGCCTGACAGAGGTGCTGGCGTGCCCACAGCCAGCCTGGGTGAATTATAGACTCATAGAGTGGGAAGGGACCTCCAGGGTCATCTAGTCCAACCCCCTGCACAATGCAGGAAATTCACCAATACCCCACACACACCCCAGTGACCCCTGTTCCACGCCCAAAATATGATTTTTAAAAA